TACAGTTATAACCTAGGTGGTCAACCAGCCAGCCAACTGTAAGTGGTCCTCTGGGGCTTTTTTACATGCTTTGTCATCAAGTACCAAAGAAAAATAGCCGCTATGATTATGAGTATAGTACATGGTAAAAAATAAAGGATAACTTACGGAACACATTTTTTCAGATCAGTTTAATTTACTTCTGCATTTCATTCTTCAGCTATAAGCATGCAGTCCTGCTCCAGTTACCGTAACTGCAAAAGAAACAAGTATTTCTTACTGCAGACAAACTTGCTTACTTATTGCCTAGTGGGTACAGAACACAATAGTAACTGAAAGCAGACCAAGGAGTCCAAGGGGTGGAGTCTTAACTGAAGCCTATTATACAAGGTTCTAATAATAGATAGTTCTCTTCAAGGCTGTTATTACTAAGAAGTTTTTTCAGGATTGATGAAGTGATTATAGGGCAATTGTGAATATGCAAAATCCACCCTCAGTCAGGGAAAGCCTTGAATGAGCAGGCGTTTTGGGGCTCTTTTGCAGGCTTTCATTGTGCATTCGCCCTGCCTTATTTACCAAATTTTTCAAAGAGTTCTATTTTTAAAATTGTTCTTTTCTTAAAACAGTCATTCTTTAACTTAAGGATGCCATTGTCTGTCATATCATACATTAAGAGGTGTCAAAACACAGCTCCAGAGGAGATATTTGAGCATTTGATACACCCTGGCAGTAGGGATGGGTCAAACCCTTGGTAGCTGACTGCGATTAATCTGCTCATCAGTTTGGGGAAATAATCATTTCCATTCTCCTGAAACCTTGGCTTCACCATTTTACTGGATCAATCACCTGAGGTGCCCAGAGTGTTCACTGTTTCAGGATTATCGGATGAGTTTCAGTTTATATAGATCAAGGATGTAACTGAGATGCTTGGATGAGTATGCATGGTCACTTGTGCATTGGATCTTTGATCTTTGTAGCTTATGAAACTGAGCAGGTTAGAGATAGCCAGTTGGACCAGGGCAATGATCAATGTCACCTTACAACAGGAAATGATCATTGGCCACCTGAAAGATGTAATAATAAGTCCTTAACAATCCCTCTCTGCAGCTCAAAGTTCTAAACAATTTTCATCCAGACAAGGTGCATGAGTGGGTGGTTGCTGACCAGGTCCAGATAATCTTGGATGTGACCAATTTTCTGCACCATTTCAGTTTGGTGTAAGGCCCATTTTGTTACTATAAATGACCTGTGATTGTCCAGAGATACGAGGAACATGTGCCTGTTAATATTCTTAATTCTCTTGGCAAGGTTTGATACCAGTGATCATGATATCCTTCTGAAGTGACTGAGTTGGGGGCTAGTGGTTTTGCTACTACTTACAAAGCCATTTCCAGCACAGGATATATTGTGGGTAGCAGTTTGGAAATAGGCCTATTCTGTGATAGGCCCTCATTTATGGAACAGTCATCTGGGAAACTTTCCCTATGTTGACACTGTCATCTTTTCAGAGATAGGCCAGTATGTATTTATTTCTGAGGCATCTATACATCAGTTATGGCCCAATTGTTGTGGGCTGCTTTAGTTCTCATCAGGGAAGGATGTTATTATGTATTTTAGATGAAAACTTTTTGTGTTCCATTGTTTTTAGATTATGTTTTTGATGTTTATTTTTATTTGCATTATTCTGCTGCTGGTAGTTTATATTGCTTTCTTTTCTAACACTGTATATCTGAGTGTGTAAGTTTATTTGGGACTGTTTTTTTGCTGCAGGATGCAACACTTAAATTTAATAAATAGGAGAAACATGATGGAAAAGCTTTTAATTACCTTATAATGGCATAGGGTACTTATGAGTATAATATCTGTAATTGATAGCTGGTTTGTTGTTATCCCATTGTGTGTGCATATGCTGCCACTGTGTTTTTTTTAACCTAAAACCCAGAAACAAAACTTGCTGAGAATACTTGGGAACTGCGCCCCTACCTGGAGTACGACTGCCTGGCGACGGTGACACACGCGCTGGTGACTTCCTGCCTAGACTTCTGTAACGCGCTTTACGTGGGGCTTCCCCTGAAGACAGTCCGAACACTTCAATTGGTGCAAAATAGAGCTGCCAGGTTGCTGACGGGGACGGGGCGTTATGCTCACATGACTCCAGTCCTCCGTCAGCTTCACTGGCTTCCCATTGAAGCCCGGGCCCAATTCAAGGTGTTGATTATGACCTATAAAGCCCTAAACGGCTTGGGTCCTGGCTACCTGAACGAGCACTTACGTCCGTATATGCCCGACCGCCCTTTGAGATCTGCGGGAGAGTCCCTTCTCCGGGAACCCTCCATGAAAGAAATTAGGAGAGTAAGTACCCAGAGGAGGGCTTTCTCTGCGGTGGTGCCCAACCTATGGAATTCACTCCCCAAAGAGGTCCGCCTGGCACCGTCGTTACTGGTTTTTCGGCGCCAGGTAAAGACCTTTTTATTTAAACATCATTGCAATTGTTAAAACATATGATCTGGCCAGGGCAACTTCTTCTTCCTTCTCTTTCTCCTCCTATATTTTTATTTTATACTGATAATTTTAATTTTATATTTGTAAATCAATGTATTTTTTGTATTTTTGTATTTAATGGTAATTTATTATGTACTATTGTATTTCAATGTATTTTATCATGTTGTAAGCCGCCCCGAGGTTTCGGCAAGGGGCGGCATAGAAATGTTATAATAATAATAATAATAATAATAACTTTCATATGACTCTATCCCCCTCCCCACAATACATTGCAAATACAATTAAACTGGGAACAGATTGCACAAATTCAGAACTTAAACCCAAAACATAAGGAAATCCATATAAGCTACACCCACCCTTTCTTTCCTATCCATTGAATATTGTGCCTACTGATAAAATACACGATTGAATGAAACTTTCTGGGCGAGTTAAAGAAGGAATTCCTTCTATTGTAGTTACCACTTGAAAAAATGTTAGCTTAGCTTAAGCACAGTCTGCTTTAAAATAACATGGATTAATATACTCAGTAAGAAGCTGGAAAGGTGAGGTCAAACACAATTATATTACTATCAGGTTAACATCTACTACTGATTTCAGTGGAACTTGCTTTTGAGTAAACTTATTTTAGACTAGAGCCTCTTCCTGTGATCCCTTCTCACATGGATCCCTCCCCACATGGATCTTCTCTTTCTCCAAGTGACTTGCTCCCTACAGAGGATGTAACATTTTAAACTTAACACATGGATGGCCCTAATCATGTCTTATTGCTGCCAGCCAATTATACCCACACACAAAACCTCCATACATTTGGCATAATCCTTGTTTCTATTTTTAATCTGCCCAATAACAGATGGTCTCTGGGGGAATTGCAAAAACCTAAAAGCACAAAACACAATGCATAATGGTATTGTGCTCCTTCAACTGTCACCCGCAGCAGCCATTCCAGCAGGCTGCAGAGAGAGAGATGAGGGGGAGCAGGGCTGTTCCTCCAGCCCTGCCAAAAGACTTCATTTTTCCCCCTTTTTTTTCCAATCCCCATTTGCTTGTGTTGCATCTTGGGGTACATACTACAATGAAGGACACCAAATAGTTATGGAAATGCATTATGTCATTCCAAATAGCCATAGGAAATCATTGGACGATGTTAAGGATCATCTTCAAATCAAAATACCTGCAAAAATTTATTTTTCAGAAACATTTACACCAAATCAAAATACTTCCATATAAAGTGCTTTTAGGAAACACCACCTATGGTCCCTAACAGCAGTTTTTAGAGATCGTCTCCAAATAGAAAAAAGAAAAAAAAACTGACAGCTGTCCAACAGAGTGATTATTTGATTTATATCCCACTTTAAGAACTCAACGCAGCTTACATCGTCCTCCTCCTCCTGCTCTCAAGTCTTATTCCCACAATAACTCTGTGAGGTTGTATTAAGACTGGTCGAAAGTCATCCAGTTGGTTCCACGGCTGAGCGGGGACTTAGAACCCTGATCGCCCGAGTCCCAAGTCCGCACTCTTAATCACTACACCGCCCTAGCTTGTAAATTTCTGCAATTAGTGGGGTCTGTGTAGAAAATCCCCTCTGCCGGGTTTGTTGCCGTATGCAAAGTATGTTCTGTTAGAACTAATAGCTTATCAGCTAGCAAATATGTATGTGCAATGCTTGTTTTGGGTGCGCGTGTGAAAGCATTATAAGAACTCGTGCAGCAATCAGGTGTTGCTGTTTCCTTCAAGTGCCAGCTCCAGCAGCGTTTCATCCTTGCAATCCGCCCAGTCAGCCAGGCTGTTGAGCAATACAGAACTGCACTAAATAGCATGCAAATAAAATAGCGCAGGGACACTATCATCAGTGAGTCGTGCTTTATTTCCCACCCCTACCCGACAACGCCCAGGGGCGTTAGAAGGGCAATTCTGTGTACGCCTAGGCAGAAAAAAAAGTCCTTTTTTCCGTCTAGACATGCATAGCATTACAGTCTATGTGAGCCAAGACCCGAGCCTGACTACTGTAATTGTGCATGTTCTCCGCTGCGAAAACAGTCCGCTGAAAAATGGCTGGAAGAAGTGCTATTGCTGCGCAAGGAACCTGCTCAAAAATGACGAATAAAGACAGTCCCGTCCCCTCTCTTATTTTCAATAGATGGGGCACCGAAGCCCTATTTATAGCGAGGAGGAGGATCCCAGCACGCTCGATACCGGACTCCAACCGAAGAGCGACGCTCGGCTACATTTCAGCAACGCGAACGCGCCGTACTCCTCGGCTGTTGATGAGTGCAGAGGCACTAACGTTTTGGGAAGCTACCTTCAGACGGCGCGTGCGCACCCCCCCTTTTCTCTCCCGCCCTCCCGACAAAGAATTCCCTAAGGTGGAAGGCAGCCGTTGGGCAGCCGCGTGCGCCTATTTCTCATTCGTTCTACTGGGCGCGAGTTAGCGTGGGTGACGTGTCTTTGTCGTGGCCAATCGGGGCTGGGCAAGACAAGGGGCAGACTGCGTCCCGCCTCCGTCTCCCCGTGTGGGCGGAGCGATTTCTTGCAGGCAGGCGCTGGCTGGGCAGTGATGGCGGACGATGGGGATGGAAAGCTAAGGACTGAAGGAGGCGGCGGAAGCAGTGGCAGCGGTATCTCGGAGGAGGCGGCGGCGTCGGCGGCCGCCGTCGGGAGCTGGCTCGGGGGAAGCTGGCTTGACATGCTGCTGAGCTTGACGGCGCTGCTGATCGCGGCGTTTCTGGCCTATCAGCTCTACAAGCGCTGGGGCAAAAGGAGCGGAGCGGGGGGCGCGACGCTGCAAAGCCAGGCCGATTCCCTGCCCCGTATGAAGCGGCGGGACTTCACGCTGGAGCAGCTGCGCGAGTACGACGGCGAGCGCATGCCCCACATCCTCCTGGCTGTCAACGGCAAAGTCTTCGACGTGACCAAAGGAAGCAAATTCTACGGGCCCGGTGAGGGGAGGAGGGAAAGCGGGGCGGAGGGTGCCCCCTTTTGACTGTCTGATTCGGACCGTGGTCGCAGTGGAATGCCTCTTGGCACCCTGTGGGGAGACGAAACAGGAGCAGGTAGAAGGGAAAGGGATGAGAGAGGATACCTGGCCTGTTATACTCACCCACGTGGGTACCTGGCGTTAGAAGATGCCTCTCCTACTTGGTGCCCTCCAGATGTTTTAAAGTACTTCAGTAGCCCATGCTGTATGGTCATGGGTAAGGAATGATGGGAGTTGTGGTGCACAAAATACAGAAGGCACAAGCCCAGGCTCCTTAGTTTATACAAAGCCTTAATGGTTCTAGTCCTAACCCTTTTCAAACTCCCGTTAATTTCGAAGTTCTAGACCTAGCGCCTGTATTTGCCTTGTGCACTTGCAAGGGTTGCCCAGTGCAAACAAGCTATTCTAGCTGTATTTTCATCTCTGCTTCCGAGATTTCCAGGCTTCCCGAATCTGACCTGTTTCAATACATATACATTTAATTATCTGAAATGCAATCAAGACTGCAGATGTTAATTTGCCAGCCTGTCACTTCATTAAGGCCTGATTGACTTCCCATCATGCAGAACTTCTCAGCAATTGCAGTTATATTTGGGCTACAGCCCTGCACATCATTCCATTGATGTAAATAGCTGTAGAGCTATAGCCTTGATCTTATGCTGTTTCTCTGACTTCTGTCTGACAAAGATATTAGCACATAGAACAAAATCTAATCTATGGAGTAGTCTCAGACTACTTTTATGTAGGTGTGGGATTGTGGTGTTGGTCATTTACTGGCCAGTTCTGTACATATTTGGAAGCAAGTCCTGTCAAGCACAGTGGGTTTCATAGGTGTGATAAGTAAAATGCCATATTATGAATTAAAATACATACATTTTATTAAATTGTAATGGATCACACAAATACTTAGTGAAATTGATACTGTGCCATCAGTAAAAAGTAGGGCAAGAATCAAACTGAAATTAGTCTAGCAGTTTTTTTGTCTCATACAGATTAAGTTTAAAACAGCATTCCTTTATGATAATAAGTGACTTTGTTTTTAGGATTATAATTTTATTGTTAGTCAGTGAAGACTTTTAAGCCAGTTTACATGTGAACAAAGCAAAATTTCATTGCTTTGTATATATGGGTCATAGTAGCCATTATTTCAGAAGAAGCATTCTCCCTATCTCAGAGAATACCAAATATCTCTTGACAGTGCTTGCTATTTGCATTTTTTATTTTATGAGTACTGGTATTGAAAACAATATTTTTAAAAACTGTGCATTAGTTGGAACACCTTTGTAGTCAATCTCACAAATTTTTAGTTTGTTATTCCATCTAATCATATTAGTATTATTGTTCTTTTTAAATATTTTACTGACTGTAGCCATGATGCAGTGGTATATCTGAATTAATGGTGTGATCCAATAATAGAATGGATACAAATAACTAACATTCTTATTGGGTCACTAGACCTTACTTACAAGGCAATGTGGGTTAATTCTTGGTCATTTGGATCATTTGAGTGCTGGAACAGGACTTTGCATTTATCTTGTATAAGTTTGTGTATTGCTGCCTTCATGAACCTGTAGATGTTTTGGACTTCAGCTCGCATTAGCCTCAGGGAGTACAGCCAATGATCAGGCATTATGGGATTTGTAGTCCAAAACATCTGGAGGGCACTAGTTTTGAGCAAGACTAGTTTCTGTCTGTGGATATGCCAGACTTTGGAACTAGTAATTTATATTATTCCCCTCTATAAACTGAATGCCAGTTGCCACAATATAGTGTGTATATGGTAGAGGTGGTAGTTCTCATCATCAAATCATGGACATTATTGAGTAGGTGCCTTAACTCTTTCAAAAGCCACATGATTCAGCAGTCCCTGTAAGGGCCTCAAAGCTGAGGAAATTAATTTCATTTGAATGCTTCCTTGATGGAAGATTTTGTGCAATGAGAAAAATACTTAAATGGTATTTACCTCAAAATGCACCTATATGAGATCTTAAGCCTTCTATTGCTAAAGGGTTGTTACATGAATCTGTGACTAAATATAACATGCTGTTATCCTAGGCTCCAAGCAACAGTGTATCATCTAAGAAGGTAGTGGGTACCTATTCTGTGGTGTTTGTTTAAATGATTTCTGTTTAGGTTTGTGGATCTAGCACTGGAAAAAATTTGTGACTTTCAACCTGGTGATCAGAGACATAAATGCAAATACAACATTTAAGGCAAAATATGGATGGGTAAACAAGGTGTCATTAGTCCTGTGCTGAGAAACTGCAAGGGCACAAAACAAAGCATTTTTGAATCCTAGTGGTTTCAGTGAGACTCATGCTTATGCTTTGCTCTTCCACTGAAATCAATGGGATTAAAATTGCTTAGTTTTAGCTGGATTGTGAAAACTCTGAGATAAAGCTGTGAAACAAAAAACACTGAGCAGGGGAAATGATAATATCTGATATTCTGAGCATTCTTGTCCCCAGTTGGTTTCTTTTTTATATATAATTTACACATTAGAACATGGTTTTGGTTGGGGTGGGATTGGCTTTCAAACACATCAATTCTACTAAAAACTGTAGTAGAAGGAAGACAAAATTATATCAGAAGTTTTACATTTCAGGTGTCTTATTCTGATACACTTTATTCAGCAATTGAAACCAGTTACCTGATAAAGCATTAGAATAGTTTGGCATTATAGGAACGGTATAGATCCTGTTTGAGAGATGCATGCATGCAAAATTGTAGTATATATACAGTGGTACCTCTGCTCACAAACTTAATCTGTTCCACGACTCTGGTCGCGACCCGAATTGGTCACAAGCCAAGTCAAATTTCCCCATAAGGTCCAGTGTAAATAAGGTTAATCCGTTCTGTAAATATTTTTTATCACAAAAATTTGAAACAATGTAACAAATAACAAGTAACAATTCATATAGTACAGTGGGGAACACTAACCTAGGTGGGGGGAGGTTATTGTTTGGAGGGAGAGTCCAAAAGATAATTGTGCAATAGCGATCATGCTCGGGCGGGGGGAGATGGCTGCGATCGCGCTCATGCAGGGAAGACAGGCGCGATCGTGGTTGTCACCCAATGCAGAGTTAGCGAACGGAGGCAAAATTTTTCTGAAATTTCTATTTGCGACCCGATTTGGTCATGAACTGAAGCATTCGTGAGCCGAGGGACCACTGCACTGCCACATTGAAAAACAAAAGTTTGTGGTGCAAATAATAGGTGCGACAGGAGCACACCTTTCCATCCACTTCTTGCCTGCTTTATGTCAGATTATCTGTGATTGCAGTGCTTCACATTGCAAGTGAGAAGCATGTGTTCTTTGCCCTTTAGGATTAGTTGTTCTTTCCTCTAGAGTGTCATTCACTTGTAAATGTGGTGGTAGATATTCTTTTTTCCTGGTTTGTACACTGTTGTATGTATACAAGGCTAGAATGCACAAAAAATTACTACTAGACTAAGGTGCTTTTTTCCAGTTTAGAAATTATTTTTAAGTGAGCCTCTTAACTTTAAACAAATACTCCCTGTTTGCCGGCAACAACAGCAGATCACAGGTTAACTATCTCAGGATTTACCACATTGTGTACCGAAGCTATTTTTGGATACTCAACTCCCAATTGGGGATCACCCCGTGACATCCACACTGAGACACTATGGGTTAATTGTGGATTAAACAACCCACACTTAACCTACAATTAGTAGTGAGGTTAACTGTGGGTTGTTTAACTCAGAAGTACCCTGTAATGCAGGGTTTAGATGTCATGCAATCCATAATCAGGGCTTGAATTTTAAAACTGGCTGCAGAATGCAGTCAGCCAAATCATATGATTTCCTGCCAGTATGTATGACTGTCTCCACTGTTGGTCAGATATGTGTCTTCTGTTGTCTTACGTTCAAATTAGGATATTCATAATGATGGAAACTAAGGGGAATCTCTACAGAATTTTGGTGGACTTAATCACTAGGCATTGTTACCATTGGCCCCTCTATTTTGCTGAGTCCTGTACCATATACAGAAAACTCATGGAAAAGGGAGAATTTTCTCTCCCTAATATTAAAGGAAAAACTCAGGAAGGGAAAGCAAACATCCCTTCTATCTCACAAATTCTCTACAGACTGAGAATTAAAACTATTGTAACTTTAAATTGATATTGAAATTAATATGGTAATCTTAAATAACTTGAAAGCAATATGGAAGGACAATCTAAATGTTAGATTTCTGAGGAAAGTAGGAAGGGGATAGAGAAAACATTCAGAAGACATGAGGTTGGAGAAGGCTGGCTGCCCTACAGTAATCTTTAAAGTTTTGCTGTGCTAGCTGCCAAGTTGGAAATAACTTTGTACTGTTAGAGTCCCTATTTGCCTACTGTATCAATGACACAGAAGATGCAGCTTTCATGAACAACCCCTGCTCAAAATTCCACATATTCACTGGGTAAATGCATATTGACACTTGTAGTGAAAACTGGAATCTATTAATGACTTATGCTGAAAACATGTTGATGTATCACTGAACCATGTGAGTAGTTCTGGTCTGATGTTTTAGTCTCATGCAATTTCATTGCTGCTCCAGTATAATGCTCCGCCTCTTGCTTTCTGGACAATGTCATCGTTTTTATCCTCATTATTTTCCCCCTTCTTCTTTTACATAATTTTCCCTTTGCAATTAATATTGAATAAAGTAAAAAGAAAGGACTTGGGAGTTCTTTGTCTCCTAACTGGAGCTGTGTATAATGCCAAGTCTTGCTGTTTCTGCAGATACTCAGTTAGAAGGAGAGAAACCACTATTTCCTTTTCTCTCTCTTAAGGAATTTACAGAGAAGAGGGAAAGGGAATATCTGTGCTAGATATGTGGAAAAGGGCCAGGGACAGTCACCAGATCAAGGAGAGTAGTGCTACCAGCAGCAAATGTATTTGTGGAATCTTGGCTAACTTCACGGCTAACTTGGCGTGTCTACTTCAAGTAAGCCTAACTGTATTTAGAATAAAGTTTTTAATAAGTGCATTTAGGATTGCAGCCTAAAACTGATTTATGGTAATTGCTTTTCCTTTTAGAAATAATGCTCAATTCAGTTTAAGGCCTTCTATCTAAGAATGATGTAATCCTGTTAATGATATGAAGGTTATTTACATGCAGAAAGGGGATTGTTTTAATCATTCACATTAGACCAGAATAAATTCAGCTTTTCAAATGGCTCAGTCAAATTCAGTTGTGGCATGCATCAGGAAACTTTAAACAATTGGATATGATTCAGCCAAAGTTAGGCTCTAATCATTTCCACTGATACCAGTATGAGAGAGGTAATCCTTACACTTTAGATGAATCCCAAAGGGGTATATGGAATTAAAAACCTTTCACTTAATTTCCGTCATTTCAAAGTGCAAGAATTACCTTAAAATAAAAGGTTTCCTTGTGGTGTTTTAGATTCTAGATGTTTATATTGTAAAGGTGTTGGAGGATTGCATTAAAATATACTGAAATCACTTGAACACCAATTAAAGTTTTGAGGTTGAGAACTTTGGAAATTTGAATTTGTTGGGATAATGTGTAGTTCTTGCCTGTGTATATGTCCAACATTCAAGTATCATAGAAAACTTTGCGTGATGTGTCAGCTGTGGAGTTGTTCTGAAGACCAAGGAACAATTTAGTCAATAGGGATCTTTTGTGATCAGCTGTTAAGTCTCTCTCTCACACAAAAGTCCTGTGCCCTGCAGTCCTGATTTGAAACAGGAGTCTTCTGCGACTGTTTCTTACAAAAATGTAAAGAGATAGGAGATGGATCTGTAGTTTTAGTTGTGCTACAGAAGTGTGGCCTCTGTTGTTCTTGCATTTTCTTGTAATCTTTAAATGTGATTCCTCAAGACAGTCAGCCAGTGGCTACAGAGAATGGCAGCTTGTTTAATAGCTCATTTTTCTGGTAATGTAAACAAAATGATTTTTCAAGAGCTGTCACTAAATTTCAGTTGCTGATAAAGCCACTGACTTTTCTAGGATTTAGGTTATAAATCTATTTTGTAGAGTTTGTAGCAATTTGAAAAGTTTCACAGCTTTTAGTCAAACAGTGACAACTTTGGTGCTAGAAAGGCTATACAAATAGATGGAATTGACTTTTATCTCCTAAGAGTAGTTGATGGAAGATGTTTGTGTTGTTTTTGTTTTTGGCAGAACTATTAGAAGTGAGGAGAGGATTTTACTCCTAAGTAGAATGTTGATCTAGTTTCCAGAACATGGATTTTATCACTAATTAGAAGTTGACAAAGTGGTTTCGTTTGTCGTAAGAGCAGCAAAGTTTATGACGGAGTTTTTAAAATGAAAGCTAACATTGTTGGTTGACCTGTTGATGTTATAAAGATACTGGAACATAAGACGATATGGCTGTAATAGCAAATGCAACGGGCTGAATTCAACACTCTTTTCCCTGATAGAAGTGGTTCTGACAGCAGAACTAGGAAAGAAGAGGGAGAAAGTCCTGCCATACTAGGGGGCCAGTTATCATCATATTGGATCTAATCAATATTCTGGCCATGTCTAAAAAATTTAAGGAGGTATATAACCATAAAAAACATTTCTCAATTATATTGGTGTTTGAGATGTGTGTTTGCCTGATATCTTAGCATTTTAATGTGGAAAAATGTTTTAGAGAGTCATATTCAAAACTTGGTTATGAATTGCACATGTATATTTACAGGTCCGGATATGGTTCTGCCATCTGTATATGAGTTGATCTTGTAATTCCTGAAGCAATTACTTGATAAGATTATCTGAGTCCTTGTGCTTGTGTAGAAATCATTGGGGATTGCGAGAGATCTGTTATTTCCCCTATGAACTGAGAAAACCCACTGAAAAATATTATGATCTGTATGTGGAATGTTGAACATCCTGCACCTGGGGTCTGTATCTTAACTTTATTTTTGTGCAAATATATGGTTTTATTTTGTCTTCACCTATAGCTAATACAGTGAAATAAACTTATATTTCCTATTCAAACATGATTACTAAATAGACTTGTTCTGTGCTTGGTTAGTATGGATTTAGCATTGACTCTGTAGAAGGGTCTCGTAAAGTTAATATACGACAGGACAAATTTTAGTTCCAGAAAAATTGCACTTTCTGAAAAAGCTAGTATCTGTTTTAGCAGAATTGGTCTTACATTATTTAGATACCCTTATATTCTTTAGATATCCAAGCAAATGATAAAATATTGAGTTATTCTATTGTGATTATCCTAACACCCTCTTTGCAACTTCTGTCAGTAGACATGCATAATTAAGAAGTCAAATTTGCTTGAATAAAAACAAAAAAAAAACTCCTTTAACTATTTTTAATGTATGTTTCCAATGCTCAGGGAGTGACTGCTTGTTACGCAATATTAAGATTCCAGTTAAGCTGCTTCCAAAGGTGATTTTGTCAAATGTTGGCTGTGTTGCCAAAGTCCCTTGATAGTAAGATAGTTGCATACTTAAAATGTTTTGAGGAATGTATGTAACAGAAAATGTTAAAAGCCTTTATATATCCTATTTCATCACAGTTCTGTTGTATTTTTTTAATAATATGGCCTGTATAACCTATGAGTTAGTGACCTGCTTTGTTAGCTTGCAGACTATTTCATTTGGACAGCACTCTGGGGTAAAGTTCATGTTTGTGGTTAGTTGGGCCAGATTCTATGTTGGATAATACTCTGCCCACAAAGAAACATGCAGTTTTGTTTTTAGCATTCCTGAACAGAGATTTTAATGGACAGAATCTCACACTTTAAAAATAATTACAGTAAACCATTGCATGTCTCGTATTTAGAAACTATTTAGAACATCTGGAATGAAAGGAAGCAATTTGACAGTGAATAAGCTTGTTTGTTCATATTCAAGTTGATTAAATTTGTTGATTTATGTATATCTGATCTTTATCAACAGTTCATGGAGTGTGGGAAAGGGAATTCCGTTGCTTTAAAATTTAGGGAAAGTATCTATTATTCTGAGTGGATGAGAATAGTATGTAGTAAATTTGAATTTATCTTTTTTCTATTTTCAGAGGGTCCTTATGGAATATTTGCTGGCAGAGATGCCTCAAGGGGACTAGCAACTTTCTGTCTAGAAAAAGATGCACTCAAAGATGAATATGATGACCTATCAGACTTAAATGCTGTACAAATGGAAAGTGTTAGAGAATGGGAAATGCAATTTAAAGGTAACATTTTAAGTGGAAGTTTTTTCGATCAGCTGGAAAGGAGTTAGACATATGGCTGGGAATGCTTTTAAAGTGATTTCTCAGTGTATAGGAAGTGACATCTTGCTACATTTTTAGTAATTTTAAAATGTTCATATAAGCTGAACTATGGTGACACGAGCTTACAGATCTAGAAGCATGACATGTTGGGGAGCAAGGGGTGAAGGGAATCTTTGCTATGCTTTCATGACCTTGCATTCCCTGTAGTGAAAACATTTGTTGAAATGAGAACAGGGAGGCAGTTGCTTCTAATCTGTAATACATCGTTTCTATGGCATTGTGAGTTGTGCTGGTGCTACCACATGCAAGACAGGAAAGAAACTGTACTTTTTTTGGCGCGGCAGTCCCTTTTCCTCATTCTCATAGGCTAGGTAGTACCTGGGTTGAGGCTTGGATTAGCAAACATCCGTCTTGGAAGGGCTAGAGCTGATGCAGCTCTGGGAGTTACTATGGGCAAATGGGGTACCTCCAGGTTCAAAAATGACTGTCTCTGATCCCATGAGGACCTTTCAGAGTCTAAGCTAATTCCCTAAGCTTATTCTCATCCTTATGGTCAGGTCATTCTTACAGCAACAACTCTATTTGTGAAGCTGAGAAGCACGTCAGTATTGCCCGTAAGCCAGCAGGGCATGGTGGCAATTGTCTCTGTCCTGCAAAGCCATCTGACACCCCAACATGGGTTGCTGTAGTTTTAATAAAGGTAAGGGCACAGTCATATCACTCCCGCTTTAGATACATGTAAGTCTCTGAACTTGATGGCCTTCTTTACATCCAGTGGGCCGAATGAGGTGCAGTGCTGATCGCTACCATTGCTGTATCTCACCCTCTTTGCATTTTATCTAGGCAGCCATTTTCAGTTGTCCACATGAAGTGTCAGAGAAGTGGAAGAAATCAGCATAGGCAGATGACCCCACTCTCTTTCTGTCCCTGCCTTGTCCCCAGGGAACATCTCCACTCATGGAGAGGCAGCTGTGTCCACTGCAGGGGGAGGGGCAGCTGTTTGAAGACCTTGCTACTGGGATGCTGAAGAATTCTATGGCCTTTCAGACAATGTTGGATAACCATAGCATTGCATCCTCGGGAATGCTTTTATGGTGACAGTCAAGAAAGTTTCTCAGGAATGCTTTCCATTATAGGAAGATGCATTGGGTGCATGCGTACACGTCAGTTGCAGTTACCTTTCATGATGGGTATTAAGTCAGATTTTAAAAATTCTATTAACTTAGTGTACTCATAGGACATAGGCATGTATTTTTAAAGGTATACATTTTATGTATTTCTGATTTTGTAATCCATGTTTTTTCCAGAAAAATATGACTACGTAGGTAGACTCCTAAAGCCAGGAGAGGAACCATCAGAATATACAGATGAGGAAGATACCAAGGATCACACTAAACAGGACTGAACTTTGTAAATCACCAAAGTCAGGGGCCTTTGGAACTGCAATCTTATTCCCCATCACAGAATCCCCTGTGTCTTCGGATATAATCATCTGCTGTAGAAAACAACTTGATGGGTTTTGTACAAGAACATCATTCTCCATGAAGATTTGATTACTAGGCATTATTTGTGCTGCCAAACTTTTGTTGTTGCAGTTTAACTGTAATGTCTGGAAAAGCTTCATTACTAAAATGGGGCCAGGGATTTAAAGTGCAAAGAAAGCTATCCCTATTAGCATGTTCAAGCCTTTGAACAGTTTATTTACAAGCTTAGGAGTTTCATATGTCATTTTCACTCCTTTGGCACTAAATGGAAAACCTAATTCTTTTAAGGGATCCCAGGTAAATTTGGCTACCAAAATATTCTAAATGGGAATACTGAAACTAGTTTGTTGGCCATTGGTTTCCATGGCAGAAAGATACTTCTGCAGATCACATGGTTTCAGATAGATGCTCCTGAAGGCTACAGGAAAATTTCACTGCAGAAGCTGTAATCTGAAATCTGCCTTTTCCTTCCCCTCAATCAAATCAAATAATTGTGCCTTATTTCACATAGAGACTTGAATTGTTTTAAGGGAAAACCCAAAGTGACTCAAGTCACTAAAAGCAGCATTGAGGACTGGTTAGAACTTTGTTGACTGGAAAACATTGATGTCATTCTGTATATAGAATGTAAAGGAAAAACTCAGTGTTACTGCCATATATATATATGTTAATATACATAAACTTAATTAGCAGTGTAATGGCCAAATGCATTCCCCTTTGCTTTTTAAATGAAAACACCTCTTCCCTTTTCCATTTTCAGGGAGCTTCCTAAATTTAAGGAATCCAGCCTCTTATCTTTTTGAAGTGAAGGGTGTGCATGGGTGTGGGTGCTCAAGTGCAAGAAATGGGACGAGAGTTCCTGCAGATACTGTAAATACGAATACCATTTTAATAAAGCATGTAAAATACTGAATGTGCTGTCAGAGTTTATGTAGATGCTGTTAAGGTAGTATTGGTGGCCAGGACTATGTGTATGACGAAAAAAATATTGGGATATAATATTTTTGCATTGCAATTAAAGAAAGCTTTACCCAGCTAATTTTTTTTTTTTTTAAAAACACAATTCACAACAGAGCTGTAACTTGTTTAAGTACAGGTGGGATGAGTACGTTCTTAGAGCAAACAAGCAGCATATAACACTGGAGCATGTCTAGATGCAGAAGTCCTTTAGTTATCAGTTTTCATTGAAGGTTGTTGTCATTACCTTTTTGCAGCAAATTCAATTTCAGACAAAAATCACTTTGTTGAATGCTTCTAGTCAAGAAAACAGCACTAAGTTGCTATTGACAACCAAGCATAATAATCCCATGCAGTAAGACAGCAGTATGTCTAGTATTCAAAGCAAAACAAAAATGCTAGCTTCAATCCTCTCATATACTAAGAAAAGCCATCACACTCTTGTCTAAAATGACCAAACAGTGCTGGCTAGTCAGGCAGGCTTGCAAGTTGATTGTTCATATGGTATATACAAAAAGGGTTTATCTACTTTCTCATTTTATGTGAACATATTGTTACAATTTGAAAATGTCTAAACCTCCATTAATGAGCCAGAGTTACAACTCTTCCACTCCAAATTTTTATTCCCTAATTGAAATTATGCAGTCTGTTTTGAGAAATGAACAATTTGTGTTCTTAATTTTTTAAATAAAGTGTTCTGTAGATTTACTGATAGCATGCTTTGTTATTTTAATTTCCTTGCAGGGAAGCAGTGTTGGAAGAGAATTTAAATTTTCTGACTGAAGGGAAAATCATAAGGAGCACCTCTTCCTGTTTAGACCTTAGGAAAATGCAAATGGCTGTACTGAGGAATGGCAGTGAATTGGGTCTTGGTGTATAGTCAGATAGTTTTATTTTCATTCTGTTCTGAAACCACTTCTCCCACACACTGCTCTTCCTACTGGAAGTTGTAACACCTGGCACCTTGCAGTATTGATGTGCATAAAACAAGCTGCTATAAAGTTTTAAAAACATGGTTTCAAGATTTCTGGACAGCAATCTTACATGTATTTCTTTATTTGCTGCATTTCTTAAACTCAGGCCCACTACCCCAACCCTCAAACAATGGTCTAAAAATGGATTGTATGCATTATATTATGCCTTTCCCCTTACACAAAACCAGTAAATTATATATAGGCCTGGAATCTCTACCATAGTTTGTGATAGTGATGCTGACTATTGCAGCATATAAGCAGGAAGGTAACATTACCCAGGCTTATAATGTTCCTCCTAAAGAAACTTGAGGGTGGGGGGGGGGGAGGATAGGACATGCCTAGTTTGTATACATCATATAAAAACATTTCAGCATTACAGAAGTTTTTTTTTTTTTCATCAGAAGAACAGGTTAAAAATGCTTCACTGTTTTTGTATCAATAAAAATTACAGTTCAGTATAGTTAAGTATTCTCTTGGCTACTGATGCACTGTGTTCTATTCAACCAGTCTATCAACATCTAGTGCCATTCAGTTATATCTTGTGGAGGGAAGGTAGTTGTCATATGTTTTTATACTTTCTTACAGATCAAATCTTTCAGATACAGACTCAAATAATTAAATAGGGTGGCTATTTTATTATCATAAGCTCAACACAAAAAAGGTACATGCCTATAAAAGCGAGGTCTTCAGTAAAGGCCACACTGACAACTCCATAGGCGCACACTGTAAATCTCACCTAGCTTAGATGTATTTATGAAGAACTTCCCATGCAGTCAGCTGCTGATTTTACCTCCCAGCTGCCTAGTCCTGTTGTGCAAAGATATGCTCCATTTCTAAACACACACACCTGCTGGAAAGCAGCAAGGCAAAGCAATTTTGGCAGAGTTCAATAAGCTCCATAGTGCTTTTCCTCAAACCCCAAACGGAAAGAGTAGGGACTTCTTTCATCCCACATTGTTGCCATATCACTTTCAGAGGTTAAAGGAATCTTGGTGTTCAGTGGCTTGCCTTCAATGAAGTTACCTTTTTCAGAACAGGCATGCTCCCTTGAACTACGACTTCACATAGTTTTGTGGGCAGGCTTACAACAAAGCTTACAGACTCCATTCTTCCTCTATGCTAGGTGTAAGGCAATATGGCACCTGTAGGTACCTGTGTTCACAGATCCTTGTCTTGGCACATATCCAAGCACCCTACCTCCACAAATCTCTTTTAAACAATGTTGATTATTTCAAAGCTAATGAAGGACCTCCATTTGCTGCTCCCATCTTTCCATGAATGCCCAAGCCACAGAAATCCTTAGAGATATTCCAAGGAAATGAAGATAGCAGGTGGTTGCAGGTTAATGCATTCATCTACAGCATGCCTATTTTATGGTGGAGCCCAAGACAATTTCTCAAATTAACAACTGTGCTCAAAAGACCCAAAAGTAGGCCTACCCCTGCTCTATACTTAGCATAGAAACAAAGTGGCTGTGAGGGGAAAGAAACCTCCTCCTCTGAATCCAATATGAAAGTACAGTGGGTGGCTGTAGGAGGAACAGAACTCCCCCATCTCTTCTGGTTTCCCATAGCAAGCTAGCAGTCTTTGTGGGCCCACAGTAATTCCAGCAGTCCACTTGCTCAAATGCTTCCTGTGCTTTTTTGTGCATGCAATCTACATAGGTACAAAATCCAATACTTTTTAGAACCCTAACCAAGAATATTTATGACAAGATAAAAAGGTGGATCATGAAGTTGTATTTCTATGCATTTTTTAATCTTTCTATCATTTTCAACCTTACAATACCAAACTAAACTTATTGAAGTTCAGGAGAAAAACACAAAACATTAAAACCTTGCTTTGGTCAAAGGCTAATGGATAAACTGTGGAATGCTACTCTTCTTTCTGACATGATTTACCAAGAATCTGCTCCTGATGAATAAAGATTGCCAAGAAGAGTGGAGAACTCTTATCATGTAGACGTACTTTACATGTAATTTTCTGGAGCACAGTCCTGCCTTGCACAACTTGTGATCCCTCTAGTTCAGCTTTCCCCCAAATGGTGGCCCTCGGGCATTTGGACCACAACTCCCAGAATTCCCATCCAGCAGGGTCATTGATGGGGAATTCTGGGTGTTGCTGTCCGAATGTGTCTAGGAGGCACAAGGCTGGGGAAGGCTGACTAGTCAAATGTAGTCCCCAGCTATGTCCTGACAAACCCCTGATCAGCAAGCCTCTAGCTGGCTGGTTGCTGTACAAGGCTGATGACTACAAGTTGTGCAGGTACTTAGAATAAGAGGAAAGATAAGGTTTTTTCCCTCAACTTTATTTTTTTCTTGTGAACTCAAGAGAATGCCAGATGTAAACATTTCTGAGCTGCCACCAGAAGAGATCAAGAAGCTGTAATTGCACTGTCCATGTCTAGATGAAACTTTTAAAATATTTGGGCAACTACAGAACAGGCAGTTCCACCTATGCCAATAACTTCTCCATTTGTCCCAATATCTTGTCCCATTATTCAAAAGCAACACTCTGAATTTTCCTTTATTAAGCACAGTATCCTTACCACTGCTAATACCTGGTAAATATATGAAGTTTTGCAACATAACACAATTTAAGTCAATACATTTTTATAACTTAAAACATTTTTAAAGTCTGGTTACACAATTCAAGTCCCTATTCCTGAGTAGTGTAATTCATTGATACAACAAATTTGAGATCAGCTATAATAAAACTGGTATCATAAAAAATTAAAACTGTAAGTACAACACTACACAGTGACTTTTTATTTTATAAAATCTGCAGAGATACCACAAATTATGCATAATAAAAACTTATATGCACATATTTCATTCAAGGAAATGAAAGTAAATATATTTCTTTTATATACAATTTAAATCAAAATTTACAATTGCATCATTTTCATGGAGGAGGTGGTTAGATAGAACACAGGTTTGAGATGAATAACTTCAACACATTGAAAAGATGCTATATATAAAGTGTGTATCATCAGTTCCTAGTAACTTTGCAAAATAGAGCAGTTTTCAAAGGCTAGCTTGTTATGTAGAAATAAATTACTGGGAAATCCATATATTCATATGCACATATATTCATAATTGTTCTATTAAGATTGACAAGACAGTAAAATGGTAATAAATTCCAACTATATAGCATAAAAATCTATTGAAACTAAATGCTGGATTGGTTACGTTATCTCCCAGTAACAAGGCATTAAACAGTATTAGGCTTTATTTCTATAAAGTTACCTGAAAAATGCCAACTATCTGTTTTGCTGTATATAATAAAATGCATCTATTCCTACTACCCCTTCCACTTTAAGGAAGAGAGCCTTCTATTTCTTTATTATTAAAATCACAATTGCTGAAACGAGTCATAAATCACAGATGACTCATCCTGTTAACTTTCACCCCACAACAAGTATTAAAACTATTTGAATAAATCATTTGTATTTAAGGAAAGTGATGTCTTCACCAATTCAGCTGGTCTTAATCATGGAATTTAAATTTTATACTAATCCATATTTGGTGCCATTCTGACATCTTTTTTTTTTAGAACAAGTGCTACATTTGTTTATACTTTCCTCTTAAATTAAAACTGTCAAATACTAAAAAAAATCAATTGGAAATTTAAAAATAATCTCTCCTTGAAGATTACCTATACTGCAAAGGAAATTTTAAAAAACCCTTCTAACTGGAGGCTGATTAGAGAGCCACCATTTAGCCTTCAGCTTCTACTGTAGATACAATGTAGATGATAATACCCTTCTACTCTGCAATCTACTTTTGCTAAAGTACAAATAAGAACCAACATTAAATAGAACACCCTGAAAATCAAGTCAGATTGATGCCTATACTCCATACACAACTGAAAATCACAGAGATCCTGAAATAAAAGTACTAAAAAGCAAAACAAGATTTTAGCACCCAAATGTGCACAGTCCTATACAGCATGGAGTGTGCATGTGTTATGAAGAAAAGTTGATGTTGATAGTACTATCAATATATGCCAACTTATTGTTCTCCATTTAAAAATTAATGATGGAACATCTGAATGATAAAAAGTTTCTATGTTACCATACGTATACCATTACTTCTTTAAGAAGAATGAGCTGGACTATAAGGCATCCCAAGGTATTATTTGCATATTGTAATGGAATGCAGTTCTTGTAAACAATAGGTCAGGGGCAGCAAAAATGAGACTAAACGTATTCCCTTAGGATCCCTGAAACCAGGACAATTGGTTAAGGGGATATATTTTGAACTTTTATCTTGTGAGAAAGCAAATGCAATCCTTTGTTTTCCTATACATTTGTTTTTAATCCAGCTTAAAATAGCTCCCTGGAAGATCTTTGAGCTAGAATACCAGCATTAGGAGTTGATTTCAAGGTTCAAACTTAATGATAACCTGAATCTACTGCTCAGGTTTATCACTTCTTGATTTTGTGGCAGTGTTGTTCTGGTGTATGCTGTTACTCAACTCCTGTACAGTATTTGTAGTGGGAAAGTTTATTGGAACCCACACCTGAGAGGCAGCTGTGGAATTACCAGGAAGGGTCTTTGAAGCATTGGACTGATGTTTATGACAGTCACGTTCCTCACCAGTTGAATGCCTTTTTCTCCCTGATTCTTCATTAATGGGAGGCTGAAAGAGAATATTTAGCATAATTAGCAGAACTATCTATTAAAAACCAAATTACTATCCATTTCTAAATTTATCAAGATTCTTAGCATTTATTAATTTAAAATGACAAAGTTTCAAGCCAATGCCACTGTGCCAGAAAAGAAGCCATTGTAGCATGGCTTGTTCAAGAGGTATCTAAAAAGTACATTAATATAATTTTCTCTTAATGTCCAAGGTCGGATTTGCTTTAGTAGCCACTGTCTGACACCTAAGACATACAAATAGTGCAAACATGACTCATAGTAGTACTGCTCCTTCTTTTTCTCCCGATCATTCCATTATTCCCATTCACATTTTGAACTGGTTGCAGAATCCTTATACAAAAGTTCCAAATTCTTGGTCAACAGTCAAGAAAGCTAAGATGACACTCTCTTGCATGATCTTCTGCTGTGAGACAAATACATTTTTATTTGGGCAGGCCTTTGGCATGTAAATTGGTTTATTGCTGAGGGGTGTTTTAACTTGTTGGGGTGTTATTTCTTTTATTCTATTTTAGTTGATTTGTTTTTATGTTTTCATCAATATACAGAGTGTTATTCTAGGGGAAAGGCGTTAATTAATAAACAAACAAATGATGAATAACTGAGTAGATATTATCTATATCAAGATGTGTTTGGAAAATGAAGGAACACACCATTTAATAATTCAAAAAGCAGCAGAGAAATGGTATAGCATAACCACAAAAAACCTGCCATCTATTACAAAGGTAGATTTATGCAAATACTGAGTTCAGTCTGAAGTTAAGTGGCAGCCTGCCCATCTTTGCCATTTCCCAAATAGTCCTCACTAAAAGATCTATTTATGTTTGTAAAGGCATAACTATATTAAATTAATCTAAAAGCCTCCTGTAATTCTAGCAAAAGACATTTCATCAGTCTACAGACATTTTCAGGTTGGACAGTTTAGTCCAATCAGTTTTGTTAATATACTAAAGGTGAAATCCTGTTCAGGTTTAGGAAGAAAAAAGGCCTACAACTTCCAGCATTCTGAGCATTGTAGGCATCTTTTCTGTCTATGCTTGCATAGGACTGCACATTTAATTACTTTGAGCAAATACTTACATCAACTCTGAAGTCTTCCAATCTTTTAAAGTTACATAGATATTCCTGAAGTTTGGGATCAATAGGTGGAGTTTTAGACTGCGAATACTTTAGATAAGCCCAAAATTTTTCTAAACCATACAGCTGACCTAATAAAAAGATGTTAAAATGTTTTTAAACATTGAGGATGGAGTGAAGCAATACCACACAATCTTTAAGAACAATGCATTACCAGATTCATAATCTCTTTTTGTTTCTTCTTGGAAGTCTTTAAAGATCTCTTGTCTGAATTTTTTTTCCAGCCCATAGCTGTAAAACCGGAACAAACATTCTAGACCATATCTGTGGAAGAGCAAAGAAGGAATAAGACTGCTGAAAAACATGTAACACTCTTTATCCCTGATCTATGCTTACAGAGTTGAACCATTAACATGATAAGAACTCCTGGGAATTAGAGGAGCATGTTTCATAATCTATCTCTGCTTGGTCTCTTCTTGTCTTACCTTGGGAAATTTTAGATAAATTCTGGTAGAAAAACATTGCTTATATGTGCCTTTGTGTTATAAAATTAAATATACACCTTTCTCACAAAGCACCAGCTTTCCAAGCCAGGTTGCTGTTCAGCATTGTTGTTGCCTTAAAAAGATGGCATTATCAGCTCGACTGGGAAAATGCTGGAGGCTAGTACCTGTGCAGAGCTAAAACAATGGTGCCCATTTGCTTCTGAATGGGGCTACCTGGGTCCCACAGAGGCCAGCCTGAGAGTAATTGTTAAACCAGACTTCCTAAATGGCTCCTTCATCAGACACATTTTAAACAGACAGACTTGGCTGACCTGAACTGTTTCATGAATTTGCTGGACTGACCTATCCATACAACTTAGGAGCACCATATTCAATAGTGAACATTAATTATGCATCATGATGACAAACCAATCCTACCAATTTAAGTTCTGAAACTAATTTGAAATACCAATTTTCACAAGGGTCAAATAACTGCTAGTGATACATCTATAGAAATTGGAGCTTCATTACTACAACATATATACCTTTATGTAACAAGATACCTAACGTTACCTGTAGTGTTCTTTTGCATCATCTAGAGCAAGTTGCCTGAATTCTTCATACATTTTCTTGTTAAAGTGGTCTCTGAGGAAAAAGGACCAGAAACGGAAGAGTGTGTTCATTTCTTGAGACTGGCCAATTCCCAGCCGTTTTCTTTCTGGAAAGAAGATAAAAAGTAGAACTAGAATGAGGCGATCAATTATTTTCTAAATTTATGCTTTATACTAAATTATAGCTTAAAGCACAAACAGTATACAACTTGGACAAGATCACCTTTATGGATGGGTTTATTATATTTATATACTTCCTTCAAGGAAGTCAGAACTTCAAAACTTGTTTTTCTATATAGAACATACAATGACCTTCAGGCATGCTGAGAATGCTTTTATATGTTAATCTGCCTTGCAGCAGCATCCTGTGATTATTTATTTCAAAAGATAGAAATTTTTCATACTTCTCAAAAGCTGACAAGATAGAAAATGCTGCATTTATGCCTATCTATACACACTCAAAGGATCAAAGGAACAGTTACAACTTAATGTTTATTTTTTTCACTTGACTGAATTTAATTACAAAGTATTTATTCTGATCTATCTAGCTATCTATCTGTATCACATTTTGTTTTTTTACAAACAGAGAATGTAATGAACATGCTGCAGTTTGCATTTCAAGCTAAAGTTTGTTTTTGGTTTTTTTAATACAGTTTTACCATTTAGGCATCTGTGGCGATACTTATGGTACACTTGCTGCGTAAAACCATTTTCCTTTAAAAGTTCATGAGAAGGATGCTGAAATTTGGGAAGTGAATGAGGGGTACATCCATAACTTCCTGATAGTGGAGCACCTTCCAGAGGTGATGTATTTGAACTGCTGTGGAAAATAAACAAGCAAGGTAGAATTTAAAAATAAAATAAAATCTTGGTAAGTGCATTTTATTTTAGCAGACAATGTAGAACCAACCTCAGGTTCCAACACTAACACCCACATCCAAATGCAAGGATAATCCAAAGATCCAGAACAACCATGTAGCACATCCCTTCACTATCTTTACTACATTCAAAATGCAGATGACAAGGTAGCATATGCAGATGTTCAACTGTGTCAAAACCAGACAGAACACAGAGAACTGCTATACAGCAGGAATATCATTAAATGAGAACCACCATCTCCACATACAAGAAAATGCTGTCAATGAGAAACATAAAAACACCCAACCTGTTGCCACCATTCTGAAACAGTATTCTTCCAAGAATACTGGGAACCACACACTTGCTTCTGAACATTTGAATCTACTCTGATTCCACAGGTTTCATTTTGTAACTATATTGCATGTACAATGAAAAATTATTTAGCTCTAAATTTGTTGTTCTATGTGAGCAGTGTTTTCCAGTGTCCTTTCTTATCAAGTTCTATTTCTTCTGATGAGTCAAGGTAAGACTAGTCATGACTGCAAATGCAACAGATACGAAATACCACAGAACAGCCTTATAAAACCATTAAAAAAGCAACTATGCATGACAGACACAGCATCTCTTCCTACGTTCCCATGCCTTGACACTAGTTATACAGTGGTACCTCGGCTCACAAACGCCTTGGCTCACAAACAAATCGGGTCATGAACAAAAATGACTGAAAAACGTTTACTTAGGTCCCAAACACGGCTTTGGGTGGCAACCAAGATCGCAGCCGTCTCCCCCCGCCCGGTTAAGGCAATGGCCACAATCGCAGTTCCATTCATGAAGGGAAGACTGTCCATGATCAGATGAATGGAGGCCATCTCCCCACCCCCAGCGCACCATTTGCACCCATCTCTCCCTCCCCCAGTGCAGCCGCGATCATGCCCGTCTCTCCCCCCCCCCACCCCCCAGCGCGCTGGGACAACGGGCGCTTGGAGGGATGGCAGGCATGTGCAGGGATGACAGGTGCGATCTCGGTCGTGCTGGAGGAGGGGCGGAGAGATGGCTACACTTGTGCTTGGGGTGGGGGGGGGGGAGATGGCCGCGATCTTTGTTGTTGTTACTTTGCCTCACATTTTTCTGATTTAAAAAATGGTTATAGAATGGATTAACCTTATTTACATTGAACCTTATGGGTAAATTTAACTTGGCTCACAACCAATTTGGGTCACAACCAGAGTCCTGGTATGGATTAAATTAGTGAGTCAAGGTACCACTGTATGTTGTATACAAGTTATTACCTAGTATCCTGAAAGCATCTCTCAGGTTTTTTGAGACACTATTTCCTGCTTTGATAATGATGATCTATTTACTACTCATGTATGTTTTCTTGAGGAAAACTTCATTTATATTAGCATCAGTTTGTAAATGCAATATGTCCTCTAGTACAAAACTGAGTGGATCTGTCAACTTCTAGGGAAACATTTCCTTCCCCTTATTACTTTAGACTTTATTTTCTAAGGTGAAACTATAATCTTTAAGATGATTGCACAAGTACAAAAGTTAGACTAAGTTACCACATTAAAAATACTACTACCTTATAGAAGATGTTCTTGGCCTGTGATCCTTAGAATCCATTACCCAGCCAACATGACTTTCTAATGGAGGGTTAGTACTATGCCGTGTTTTTCTTTTCCTTCTTGTCTAAAATAAAACAAAGCATTATATTTTCTTGATGTGACTGGAGCTACTTATCTGAAGAATCACAGCCTAATTAAAGTCAAGTTTCATAAAAGTTCACACTGCACATCATATGCATTATGAAGTCATAAAGGTGAGCATGATTAACCAACTGGCTAGCCTTAACCAGTTGATGTAAGTATTTCATTATGGATTTCATAGTTTGGACCAAATCTAACACTATTATTTTCTACTTTGAAAGAAATATTAAGAAGCAGGGTTTTTAAAAACGTGTTTCAGGTGTTGCGCTCTCTAGTGATAAGGGACACTAAATTATTAGGATCTGGAAGCTTTCAGTTACCTTAACATCAATGGATCTTGCTTCTTTAACCACAGGATAGAATCTTGGTGCTTTGTTGGGAGCCTGAAGTTTTGGTGTACGAGGTGTTTTAGGTGTTCTGGTAGGGTGGATTCTAGGAGATTCAGGAACTGCTGTTGGCAATGAGCGAGCCATTGTTTTTGGAGGTATTTCTTGAATGCCAAACAACTTACAAGCCAGCTCTTCAGTTAAATCTAAGCAGAAAGACCAGAAGATTGAGTGACCTTGCTTTCAAGTTGCCTTTTGGGGCTTCTCAATTAGCCTCTACTGGCCACTGCTTTATTTTATTCACTCTGTTCCTTATAGAAACCTGGGCCTAGGGGAGAGCTTTGCTAATACCCTGGACTGACCAAAAGATGAACAAGTGGGTCCTAGCTCAAATCAAGTCAGAACTTTCCCTAGAAGCAAAAGTTATGAAGCTGAGTATGTTGTACTTTGGGCACATCATAAGTAAGTAAGAGTCACTGGAGAAGACAATAATGCTAGGGAAAGTCAAAGGAAAAGAAGAGGAAGACCAAATATGAGATGGACTTATTCCATAAAGACAGTCACAGTCTTAAGTTTACAAGAGCTGAGCAGGACTCACAAGGATACAACATGCTGAAGGGCCTTCATTCATCGATAGGCCCCAAGACAACTTGACAGCATTTAGCAACAAATCTGGCATAAGAATGAAACCTTCAAGTGATTTTACAAAGCATCACTGAATGTATAAAAAAGTATTTATCTTCTCCCTCTAAGATACATAATAATGGTCAAAAATTGGGCTATATGGTAAAAAGGCTGTATTTATAAACCATTTTTTAAAAATATTAAAGAAACCAGTTACTATGCTTATTTCTTCAGAAAAGATATGGATTATAAAATGAGGAATTTGATTCAGATCAATTATTTAAAATCATTCATCCTGTTCTGTATCAAAAAAGTTCAAATCTGCCATTTTAATGAGTTATATATAGTAAACACATGTGCATATTGCCATACCATACACAATTTATTCTTGTGCATTTACTATTTTGCATAGCTTTCCTGGTTTTGCTGTTCATGGAAAGGTAAAGAGATTAAGCAGAGAACTGAATTCTTACTCAACTACTTGAAATCTTGATTATGAATTACATAGATAACTTAAAATCTGCCATTCCATACAAAATTCTCAAAATGTTCTCCCAATAAAACCATCTAAAACAACCTTTCCCAGATGTTTTACATCACAAATCCCTTCAAACTCTGCTGGCAGGGCTAATGTTCCGAGAAGATGCCAATGCATCTGAGAGATACCAGATTTGGAGAAGGCTACTGAAAATAAACAATGAGCAGGGAGATAATTGCACAACCAATAAAACCAATTTTTGGTTGTGATTTACACACATTGTTCAGTATTGTTAGCTTTCAAGATGTCAACCAAGATTTCAAACATACTTTCCATTGTATCTTTGCAATCATAAGAACTAGAAAAGTGTTTTTTATACATTAAGACTGATTCCCAGGACACTTGATGTTGTAACCAATACCACACTGGAACTAAATTCTGCAGCAAATACATACAGGTATGAGTTAGCAAAGTGACAACATTTTCCTAATCTATACTCCCCGCTTCCACTTCCTGGAATCTCTTCTTCTCAAAGAATTGCATAAAGGTGTCTGAAGAAGCATCCCTACTTACTTAGTAAGTGGTCAGCGTTTCAGAATGCAGTATAATGACCTTTACAAATATGACCAAACATACAACCCCATCATATTGTTCTCTATGTACCCCACTATAACTCCAATTTGAAAATTCACTGTACATGTTATAATCCTGTGTAAGAGCATCTCCTTTTTTCAGGTCAGGGACCATTTCATGCATATACCCTCAAAAATCAGAAAAATCCTTGTAAATTAATTGAACAGTGAAGGGTGTGAACTCCTGGAATACCATATGAATACTGTAATGATCATGAAACATTTAATCAGGTTGTGCCATATATAGTATGATCTTAATAGGGGCTTAATCAATTTTATGTAATTGTATTGAATATACCTTCTTGAGACCTTGAAGGACCAGGAGGAAGATCTTGATTTGGATCAATGATATGCTCAGGTGTAAGATTGTCAAATTCCTCTTTACTGATGAGATTTAATTTTTTAAAATTTTCAACTTCTTGCTGAAATGCAATAAAAATACCTGTAATAACTTATCACAAGTTATAGAATTTCACAAATAATAGTTCACAGAGAAAAAAACAACTCAACATGAATCAAGCATATATTATTTGACTAATGAATTTTAAACAAAAGAAATTAGAAAGATTAAATAAATATACCAGTCAGCAAATGAAATGCAATGAAATTGTGTCATGTTTAAAAATAAAATATTACAAAAGGAATAAACCCAACTTTTCCAGGTCCATTTTCCATGTCTCAAACACCAGATTACTGTTCTCATAAAGTGTGTCCAAACTAAATTGTGTTAACAAACGTGATTCGGTTTTTCATGCAAAGGTCTTGCCTTCCTTTTAGTTCAGGAGAAAAGTATATTGTGCAAGTGATTTCTCTGCTGTATCAAATGGACATTATTTATTTAAAGCCTCAGGGCGGCTCACAACAAAAACAAAAACAAACAAAATCATACAAAAATTATACACTAAAAATATTAAAACCCGGTGCATCTCGGCTTAAATTTTTTTAAAAATCCTATATAATAAATTAACACTTAAGTTTTAAATAAAAAGGTCTTAGCCTGGCGCCGAAAAACAAATAACGACGGCGCCAGGCGGACGTCTCTGGGGAGCACATTCCATAGGTGGGGCGCCACCGCAGAGAAAGCCCTCCTCCGGGTACTCACCCTCCTAATATCATTCACAGAGGGTTCTCGGAGAAGGGCATCTGTTGCTGATCTCAAGGGGCGGGAGGGCATATATGGACGCAAGCGTTCCATTATCTCTAAACAACCAACAATAACCTTATACATTGCAATCTGAGAAAGAAACATTGGTACTTATCATGCAGATTTCTTATTGCTGGTATGTGGAGGAAATTTAGGTTGAGTTTTACTTCTTCCATTAGATCAAAGAGGCAGGTATAATATGAATGAAGTTTTGCTACTTTTGCTCCCAGAGGAAGCCACCCTATGCTGTCACTAGGTAGAAAAAACTAACATTCAGTATGCATTCAGAAAGTAACAGAAAAGAGTCAACGCTGGGAGTTTTTTTGTGACTTTGCTATAGAAAGAATGTGTGAATCCCATTTAAAAAAGCTAACAGAAAAAACAGCTGCAGCATGTATGCATGCATGCATGCATGCATAAAAGTACTGATCTTGGATATTCTGTATACACCAACAAGAAGTAATCTTCACTGTTAAGTTCCAGTGTTACTTTTTTGGTGTGAGAAGCTGGATTATGTGAAAAAACAGTATGATGATCTGGACAGTATAGATGCCTGTTTTCTTAAAGTACACTCTGCAGAGATCCTGCTGAAGGCTGTCCCTGAACATCTATAATTGTCGAGTTTGCAGTGTCCTATAAGTGTATTCCCCAAGGACCAACAACAGCCTGTCACTCAGAGAACAGGGGGTTCAATGATGGGGATGCTGAGGTAGAATGCACTATGATGTTTAGCTATCAGCCATATGTTCTGTCTTGTACATTATAGTATAGTATAGTATATGGTAGAAGTATATACCATTTGGGGTGGGGTGGAAGAAGTGTGCCCAACTATCTAAAGGAAGGTGTGTATTTTTATATATATATAGAGAGAGGGGTCTACAGATGTCCAGTTTATGCCATAGGTGCTCAACTGGACTAAAGGAATGCGTTTCTCTGATCTGCAACGTTAGTCTCCTTTTGGAAAATATGTAAATCACACATGATTGAGAGTGTGTTGATCTTTGACACTCTCTTTGCAGATGTTATTCCGGTTACTCTAATTGTAGTGATTCAAACAGAAGTTTTAAGAAGTGATACTTGTGTAGAGTTTTGAAGAACTGAATCTGCAAACTGCTTAAGACTTGATTAGGAATATTTTTCTGAGGTCTCCGGCTGAAGGCCAATTTGTTTGGCATAGAGTTTTGGTAACAAAGATGTGAGGCCCAAAGCTAGTCATCAAAGAATGCTGCTTTAATTTAAATCACATCTCTAGGAAGACAGAAAGAAAATGTGGAGTTCTTTGTTTATAAAAACATGTATAGGCTACCTTTCAACCGCATTGACTTTTACAACAGAAAATGACTCAAACAGTATTAAATAGATTAAAGACAGATTTAAAAAACAGAGAAAATGAAGAATTTAAGCTTCAGTAAGCAGTATTAAGCCTCACTGAAGGCCACATGCAATAAAATGTTTTATTGCCCACCTAAACACCATCACAGATGGAGAAAATCTAGTATCTTTCAAGAGGGGTGCTGTCAGAGAAAATGCCCAACCAAACCTCTTTAAGTCTTGGGATATAAAGCAGGCCCTCCAAAAACGACCATAATCTACAGGCAGGTTCACATGTGAGGAAGCAGTATGTCAGATATTCTTGCTTCTTACTTTTTAGATGATGACTAGCACCTTGAACTGGGCTTGGAAAGAAATCAGAAGCTAGTGGAACTGGTTTAATATAACATGTTCTAGGAAGTATATACCATCTAGATCCCTGGCTGCTCATTTTGGCACACTCTCCAAGGATAGCCTTATGTAGACTGCGCCCCAGTAATCCAGTCTGATAATGAGCAAAGTATGTATCACTGTAACAGCATCAGTCTTCTCTAGAAGCAACACTTGCTAAAACTGAACACTGGGACTTCTGGCTGTATCACCAAGCTGGACATCAAAAAGCAATGCTGGGTCCAGGAGCCTTCCCAGACCATGAACTTTTAGCAGAGAGGTGGGACACCTGATGCCCTCTAAATGATACTGGACTCCAATTCCACCATCCATGAATACTGATCATGCCTGTTGACCCGATGGAAGTTGGAGTCCAGCAAATTCTAGTGGGCTACACGTTCATCAACCCTGATTTAGAGAGTGTGCAAACCAATCCTGAACGGGCTGCACTCTCATCCCGAGTTCAACTTATCTACTGACTTTCAATACCTGTCTTATCCTGACTGAGCCACAACTTGTTAGTCCACATCTACTCCATCATTGTGCCAGGTTAATGTTTCAGAGCTTCAACTTTCTCGGGATTAATTAAAAAGGAGAAGAAGAATTGGGTGTCATCAACACATTGATGGTAGCCATGTTCAAATGATTTTCCCAGCAGCTTCATGTAGATGTGAAAAAGTATGGGGGCTAAAAGAGTGTTTGAGGTGTCCCACAAATCATCAAGCTGAGCAATTATATACCAAGTGGCAAGGAGGACATGACACTTCCACCTGCTTTCATTCAAAAACAATAGGACAACCTAAATACAGCTACTACAGACATTACAGATTCTTTTTACAACACAGGATCATTCAAGCTTGTTGCTGTTGTTGCAGGATCAGAATTATGAATGAATTCTCACACAGCCAAGTAAACAGCTGCAGGAGCAGAATGAATACACACTGAGCCAGCTAAGTAACTGCATGACCTGAGGGAATGCCAATGAAGCAACACAGGTAAGTAACTGAAGGATCGGTGTGCCTATGAAGTAACAACAGCTGCTTATTGACAGTTTACATGTCAGAATGATCTATTACTGAGTTTGTTGCAGAATCAGTTAAGCATTTTCTTGTCTAGGCTTTCTTATATCTACCTGTCTGCTATTATCTATACTGTAAGGTCACTCCTAACATTCAGGCTTGCTATCTCTCTCTTTACTTTCTTTCGATTCTGTTGTTGTTGCTTCTTCCAGCACTACTTTGCCTTCTTTCTCTTTCCCCCAAGCTTCAAGCATCCAAGGCTTTTAACTTTACTTCTGTCCCACCTCTTCATTCTCCCTCTTGAGTCCTCTGACCATTTACTTGTCCCTATTCCCTTTTAATCTGCTCAACTAGACCCTGCTGTTGCAGACTCCTGTTACTGAGCAACTGGGGAAACTAGAGACTGTCTACAGCAACCCTGTTGGCTCCTCACACTGAACTGAGCCATCACATAGCCAACAAGAATAAAACAAAAGTAGAAAAAGAATAAAAGTGCTTTTGTTTTTAAGAACAAGACTGCAAGGGTAAAATGTGTGTGTGTGTGGGGGGGGGGGATTATCCTATGTTTGAGATCCAGGAGAAACTGTCAGCCATTTGCTCTGGATCATGTACAGTAAATATGTCTAGATATTAGATTATGTCTCTAAAGAGATAGTAAATACTATCTCCCATAAGGAACTACTGTCCCACCAAAGGACTACAGTGACTGAGGCCTTAATAAGACTAGCAGAGCATGGAATTCCAGTGGCTCCAACCTTACTGGCTGCTGACTGTTGCTTTTAAAGAAATAGTACCTATTGTTGTAGTCTCATGTCTTGCCTGGCTGAGAGACAGTAGAAGCTCCAAGGAAGCATCCCCAAAACCAAAAGTAGATGGTAGAGCTACATCTTCAGCCTGGGAAGAAAAGAAGGGGGAACTGAGGGTTCTCCCCACAAAGTATAATCATCCATAACCCATCTGAGTATCAGTCTTCCTTGGCATAAGATGGAAACACAGAATCAAGGGCATATGAAACCATGAAGAATAAGAAAAAGCTAGTTAGAAGGAAAATAGGAATAAACTCATGCAAGAGAAAAATGTACCTGGCTCTCAAGGCAGAGAAATAATTTAGGAAATGCTTCCTTTGACAATCAAAGTAAGAATAGTAATCCTTGACTCTTGAACCTGAATACAGGAATGAAGTGCTACATAGATACATCACCCCCCCCAAGTCCATGGCAACAGAGAACATACTATTATCTTGATCTCTATATTCTATGCTTTAGGTATTTTTTAAAACTATGTACAGTAACATTACAAGTGGTCCTGAAAGCAAAAATTTGCATTCAGATGTGTAACTGTTACACTTCTGTTCATTTTCTAATTTTCTTACTCTTTCAGTGATTACTTTTTCATTTCTGAAAATGATGTAGGCTCAAACAACATTGAAAGCCAAATCAAAAATACAAAAGGGACTAACAACAACACCACTGCAAGATCACAAAACTGCATTAAAGTTAATATTTCATTTCCAAGTAAGCATTCTATTCATTAGTCAATGCAGAAACTGTTTTATTATTACTTATGGACTTCTAATTAACAACTTCTGTTAAATGGGAATTCAAGAGAAACACAATTTGTCTATTCATTTCAGCACTCTTTATGAAGAAATGCATTATGCTTAATAGCCCCATCATATCTATACATGCCAAAACTCCAAAACTGTCCTTCCAATTAATTTTCATCCATGAAGTACATCTTTGCTAACAGGAGTTCTGGCAGCAAACCTATTCATTAAATCATATTCGGTCCAACAGCTCAAACACATAATTACCTTCAGAGCAACACAGTCATTTTCATTCTGCTCCATCCACAAATCCTGTTCATAGTAGTATAAGCCATCATTAATAACTTTGGCAAGTTCTGATGTAATCTTTGCCCGTGAAACATGGTTGCCAGTGCGATCTCCTCCAGGATGTTTTCTCATATATGGTGGTGTCTGCGTTACAATCAAAATCTTATTTAAATCCTGATCGTCAAGTTCATAATCTGAATCACTGTCTGACCACTCTGTGAATGTATTTTTGCGGCCCTCTATTTGTTGCATCTCCTCATCAAACAAGAAATCAAGTTCTTCTTGTTCTTGCTCCTCTGAAAGCAGGGGCTGTGGCTGCTCATGCCCCAACTTTTCCTCAAGTGTCAGCACAGTTTCCTGAAAAGGACAAAGGTTTTTTTTTCAAATTTTCTGTGAATCAAATAAACCTAATGTATTGTTTTTGAAAGAATGCGGCAAGAAGTCTAAATGAAAAGAAAGTAAGTAGTGTTTAACAGCAAGAATAGTAACATTACCATTCACCATACAAGATGTAGCAAAGAAATCTACAAATGATGTTTTATCTTTCTTAATATCACATCCATTTATTTTGGACTTACATTTCAAATCAAGCAATAGTGCTAAAAGGCAGCAGCATTCTAACAGAGGTCATAATCCAGAGAATGACGTACACTTAAACCCACTGATTTCAAAGGGTTTACATATATCCTACTAATTTTATGCATTCTTCTCTTGTCTCAAGACTAAATTAAGGATATATGATTTATAGTCATTGTCCACTGATACTGGAAGCAATGCAACACAGGTACAAATAATGGATGCATAAACTTTTTGTTTGTTTTTTTGTTTATTATTTTCTTAACATAGACAGAATACAGAAAGAAGAAAAGTGTATGCATATTAAAGTAAAGTAAAGCAAAACAGAATAAAGTTGCCATGGGAATTTGAACAAGTACAACCAATACATTCAAATCACAAATTTCAAAGAGACTGAAAATACCTATCTTTCTGCCATTCAGCACTCTATGGAAGTTCAGAAAAGAGGGAATTATTATTCTGTACACCAACAAATTTTTCAGTCACTTTAAATCAATTTTAAATCCTCAACTACTTTTTAAAGAGTACCCTTTTACATCCAAGTAATTATACTGGCTATAAAAGAATTTTCATTTGTTATTAAATTCTTCAACCAGTCTTCTAATTACATAATTAGTTAATTTTGCCATCACTGCATATTCTGCCAGTTTATTTTTCCATTCTTCAATTGTTGGGGATTCTGGTGATTTCCCTTTAGAAGCAATTGTAATTCTTGCTGCAGTTGTCATATATTTAAATAACTCTGACATATTCTTTGAAAATGTCTCAGGCATTATATTCAGAAGCATATTCTTAGGACACATAGGAAACTTAGTTTTAAAGGTTTTTGGTATTTCCACATGTATCGATTTCAAAAATCCTTTGTTTCACAAGTTCACCACATATGATTGAAAGACCCCCAGCTCTAATATCCTCAGCTGTGCCAAGGTCAGTTTTCACCATCCACAATTCTCAATTTCTCATGCAAAGACATCAGACAACTTTGCAACTGTTAAGGTCCAGCTAAAGCATCAATAATCATCAGGAAATTGTCCATTTCAGAGTCCTTTCCAAATATGCAAACAAAAATGCCTTCAGATTCTAGGTTGCAGCAACTTAGGGTAGTACTCTCTTGGCACAAAACGTAGAATAAAGCAAAAAAAGAACAGCATGTCAAAACACGTATCCAAAATAACTTATCCTTCCTAGATTCTAGGAACACCATCATCCTAAAATACTTTCTTTACTTGAAAGGGACAGGCTATCTTACAATACCTTTGGCTTAGCTGGAGATGGCCGGTGTCTTTTTTTCACTTCTATCCAAGGTTCAGAGTCCAGATCTGGCAAGCTTGTAGATAACCCTTTAGACATTGTTTGAAGGCTACTTGTTTCAGTACTTTTCTTAGTACATAAAATTCCCATTCTTGGAGAACTTGGTGCAGATTCTAAAATTGAAAATGGTTTTTGTATTTAGAATAGAATAGTCTATTTTATTATTATTTGCCTTACTGTCTTCCTTCCATGGAGTTCAAGCTTCTGTTTTTTTAATATATGTAAATTTACCTCACTGGTGTTTCTGTTAAGGTAAATTTATCACCAAACTTGTGAGATTAATTTAAGAAATATTTGGAAAGTGTAGAATGGAACTCTGGTCACTTACCATGAAGGTTCCTTCTGGTTCAGTTCAGTGTGAGGGAGACATTCAAGAGTGGGTCAGATCTCCCTCACTGCCCAGAAAAGGTCAGGATAATGTGATGAGTGTCCTCGAATGTACACTCTGGCTCTACCTCAAGTTCTGCCTATGGCTAAATTTGAGGAAGAATACTTGTTCTGAAGTAGTGAAGTGGTATATAAATGACATAGGAGAAAAAAGGAAGGCAAGCAGTTCTTCCCTTCCAGTAGAGATGAAGCACAGAATGAAGGACAAATAGTAAGCTGACACCTCAACTACCAGCAAGAGCATGGGGTTGGATGCCTTCACCACACACCAGAAAGAACCTTCACTCTGAGTGACTATCGTTCTATTGCCATTTTGCTATGAGGAGACATCCAAGAATGTTATGTACGTAAACTAGGTTTCGAAATAGGGTAGGATGGTGGTTGACTTTGCTATAGTCCTCATCTACCAAAGGCTGCTTGAGTGGAAGAAAAGGTGTCTAACTCGTACCAACATGTAGATTTGGTTGGAGTGGGGGCACTGGTAGAGAAGACAGACATGGATCCCACCCATGTGGAATGTGCATTGAGATGTAATGGTTGTGAGACATATTGAGACTCTTAGGTTGCTAAGATTTAAGCTTTTTATCCACCTAGCTATGGTTGAGCTTTGTGCCATTTTCCTCTAAAGTGGACTGGAAGCCAACAAACAAGGAGTCAGTGTGCTAAAGTGTTGCTGTATGTCTTATGTAAATTTAGAAGCTAGAATTTCTTGGGATCTGGAAAACACACCATTAACTTTGGTATCGAAGGATCAACATACAGGACTAAAGACGTATTTGCTATTCTAATTAGGTTGTGAATGATGGTCATCAGACCTATGGTGTAGGCTAATGTCACTAGATTTGCTTATCATGAGACCAAGGGGCTTCACTTCCTCTCTGAATCCTCTCTAGAGGGTCAGACAGGGAGATCAAGCTTTTGCTCATATCCATGCCTGCACCTCAATGAATGATTTCCTTTTATAAAGGTAAAGGTTTCCCCTTGATGTTAAGTCCAGTCATGCCTGACTCTGAGGGCAGTGCTCATCTCCGTTTCCTAGCCGAGGGAGCCAGCACTTGCCCACAGACAGTATCCGTGGCCATGTGGCCAGCATGACTAAACAATGAAGTGCAACAAACGCGGTTACCCTCCCACCGAAGTGGTACCTTTTTATCTACCTGCATTTGCATGCTTTCGAACTGCAAGGTTGTAGAAGCTGGGACGGAACAACGGGAACTCACCCCATTGTGCACATTCGAACCAGCAACCTTTCGATCAACCAGCCCAGCAGCACAGCAGTTTAAACGACTGCACCACCTACATCTTTTTATAGGCATAGGCAATTCTTTTTGGTCTTGACAAGAAAACTATGGTTGGCTACATGTGACAGAGTATAGGCAATACAGGCCCTTGATTTCTCTACGGAAGGTACTATGAGAAGTATGGCTACATATGGATGCCTGAAGATGAGAGTGGGCCACCAAAGAAAGAATCCACTTGGAGAAGATTTTGGAGGCTGAAGCTAGGCCAAAGGACAGGGACTATAAAGTAGGTATTCTTGCTTGAAAATAACACTCAAGTAATTTTGGGGATGTAGTTATAGGAATATGGAGACATGCTTTATTAGGTCTACAGAAGCTAGAAATTCCTGTGAATGCAGGGCAAGTGGAGGATTTCCATCACAAACTTGCAGTATGCCAGACTCCTTAATGTACTTCAAATGCTTTCCAGTCGGTCAGGTCTTAATGATTCAAGGGTCTGAGCAAAGCATCCTGCCAATCTAGATATAAAGAATGGGACCCTGAGTCTACTTGTTTTTGCAACACGGCATCTGAGCAGTCATGGAATCTAAAACCAACTGTATCTATATGGAAAGTACAGCATGACCAGAATCAGATCTATGTGGAGTGACATGATTTCCAATCCTCAAATATTATAAAAAGCATTCTGAACTCCTGAGAACCTGAGCCTCCACTGGTTACATCTTCCTAATGAAAATATTTGGAGAATGTTTTTCCAAAAAAACCTGTTTGGATGTTTATTTTAGGAGACAAGAGGTATCACACTGGGAATATATTCTCATGGAGGGTATGCTTGCTCTGTACCAGTTTTCACTTCAGCCAGCCAGTTCACTTGCACATTCAAATATAGTTCACAAGGTGAGAAAGCCGTCAGGTTGTTCACTGGCCCAGACAGGTGAGAAACCTCTGACTTTAGAACTCTCTGCCTGGTTTCCCCCATGTAACTTGGGTACTTTTGTACCTCTGTAGTAACCCTGTCCATGTGGATAAACATGTGGTTACTCTGACATCTGTGGAAGAATGCCGAAAAATGTCAGGGAACTGCTGTAAGATTCACTGATGAGCTCCTCTATCCTCTTGCTCAGAGCCATTTAACTTATGGGTAAAAGACAAGACTCCTATAGCAGCATGTCCTGAAGAGGACTCAACAGAATTAGCTGTCCAGACTGAAGGCACTGGCATTTTATTGAGGCAAACCATCAGGGAGAAACACCAGAAAAAGACTTAATGGCCTTCGTTCTTCTTTATGAACGTTCTTCTTCATTCTTTTTGTTACATTTTGCAGTAACAAACAGTGGGTGGATTATTTAACTGACTGGCATTATTCCATGTTGTGACTTAAGGTAAGAGTGAATTCTCCTGTAGCGAATGAGCTATTACCCAACTACTCATGTCCTTTTATAGAGGCTAATGATGCCGTAATTAGGGTAGTTTTTCCTACTGAAGTTTTTATTAAAGCATATTCCTAGCTGCTGTGATTCTGATGGGAGTCAATAAATCAAGAAGGCTTGTATGTGCTTTAGCCACAAGACCTGCACACACAGCAGAATACAGATGGGACTTTCTGAGACTGGAGATGTACTACTTATGTGTTACTAATGACATCAAGAGCTTGGTAAAGGCCCAAGCTACAAAAGCTAAGGGTGAGTATTCTCTGATACTGGAGATGTCTTTCTTCATATGCAGACCTTCAGAGATCCTCAGTGATCTGGAAGAACATGTAAGATACAGCTCCGTCAGTTTTATGAAAGAGATGTGTTGCCTTTCCTGCACTGTTATCAAATGACTGAAGGATCTGAATTCAGAATTTTCTCTTACCTGTTGAGAGGTCTGAAGGTGCTAGGTAGCTTTCCAAATACTATTCTATTTTGGGATGGTAAAAAACATGAAGTAGGTATGTGAGAATCTTTCTGGCAGTGGCATTTCTTTGATGGCTATGTTGGAGAGGTGACAGATACTAGTACTCATAGAGGCTTGTCCTGAGACAGGATAAGCCCAACCCTAGGAGCCCATTTTCATCTGTTTCAATTTAGTCTCTCCCACTGGGGTTTCTTCTAGGAACAAAACCTCCACCTGACAAAAAGTGGGCTAGGTGATGTATGGGAAAAAGAGTTGGTCATATGGAAGCAACTGAGTCCAGTATGGAAAGAGTAATTCTCTGCTTTTGACCCTTTGGTTCCTCTTGTTGGTAAAGGTTCCCAGTCTGTAGCCTAGACTACTGATTCCTTTAATCAGAAGAAAAGGCCAAGAAGTGGGAAAAAGCTGTGCTACAGTTGGGAATATAAATTTGTTCAGCCTTCTGAGATAAAGAAGGCATCAATGTTTCCTTTCCTGCTTTTCTTAGAAGTAGACCCTATTTCTAAATAAAAAGTAGTCACACATGACCTACCTGTATCTATCTATAACAGATAGTATATACTAGTAGTATATACTACCCTATAATTAGGGTAGTATATACCAAAACCCTAAAAAAGGGCCTCAAGGTCCACCCACCAATGCTGAGTCAATATGCCAGTAAGGTACAACTTCACTTTTTTCTTGAAGCCAGGTAGAACAGTATTGGAAAGAGAAAACTGTCCCAGAAAGCTGAAAGTCAAGAGATTCTCAGCTCCTCTAAACTGCTAACATAAGCCAGAAGACAATGACTCCTCTTTACAGAGAAAGGGCAGTTGTACAAGCTGAGATGTATCTCATTATTTCTCCTATGGTAGTCAGTTAGGAACAACTGAGGGAAAAAGAACAAAATTCAAGCAGTACAGTGGTAACAGTAACAAGAAAAAGAGTTACACATATATATCCGCCTATGAAGTGCTTAATGCCAACTAATTTATTTTTTATACTGTGCATTAACCAAAGCAATTGGGTTTTCCAGAAAAGGTAAAGAAAAACATCTTACCAGTATATGAGCCAAAAGCTTTGCCTGGTATGAATTCTGGGCAGTTAATAAGTTGAGAAAAGTCTGTCTGTGGAAGACTGCATGGAGAGGGACCCGGAATTGGCCATTTTTCTGGTTCTACCTTTTTCCTCATTTTTTGATCTACAATTTCTATTTCTGTGCTGTCCTTTAAGGCCTAGATGATACCAGTAAATATGTATTAATTTATTAACAATTATGTACATAAGGAAAATATAGTGTTGCTTAAGACTAGAACCTTTCTTCAGTTACAAAGAATTATTCCCTAGTTATACTTGCTTATAACTAAAAAACAACTAAACATAAATGTACATTAATAATTATAAATGAATAGTAACTCATATATGCTTGAACAGTCAGATATTTCATGAAGCCAAGAATGCTCTTTCTCATTATGTACTTTTCACTTTCGTGTGGTCTAAGGAAACAGACACTCCAATAAAAAGTTCTGAACTCTAACCATGCACATTTTATATTTTATAGTGGTCCATGTTTTGTCCAATTTCTTTAATGAAATTTGAAAGTTGTTAACAGGGATAACTGTTAAGTTATCCCTGACCTTGTAGGATAAAATACAAAGAGGACAATTGTAAAGGGTAAGTAACAATTAAGCCTAATAAAGCAAAATGTGTTTTGTTTTAAATTCTATACTTCTCCAGAAGTGTAGCTTAAAAATTCCATATCCAAGTTAAAAAAGGCATCCATTCCACCAATCCTCAGCAGCAACTGAAACACCCCAAATGCACTAACATTCATATTTTTATTGACTTGTCTATCTAATGAACAAGTGTTGCTCTGGTATTTCTGACATCAAACATTGTATTTCCCAAAACTTGGATTTTGAGGCACTAAACAGCTTAAGTTAGCAATTCAATTAAGCACTGCATCATCAATGTAACTTTTATTTTTAAACTGTAATTCTAAAAGGTCAGACAAAAATGTAAACATATCTCGCTGAAGTGCTCTGTACTTCCAAAGATTTAAGCTGTGTTAAAAGAAAGAAAAAGAAAAAAGTGATTTAAATAAAATGTATATTGCTATCCAGAAGAAAATGAAATTTAATTTACCTCTAATATTAGACTAACATTTGTAGTGAGAGCTTGTACCCGATGGAAGCTGGCAATCAAAGAAATAGGCAAGAATCCTTGTTGGTCCATCTTTCTCCTCAAGAAGAAATCTCTTTCCAAGTTTTCTACACTGAAATAATACTCGCTGAAGGCAAAAAAAAAAAAAATGTTTAGGGCTAGCAAACTATTTTTTCTAATCTAGCATTACCCTTTATCAAGGCAGAATTTCTTATCTCCTTGCAAATAAATATTGATGGTTATCACTTTATTAACTTTAGAAAAATGATTTGCACTGATGTAGGTTATTAAACAACACTTATCACGGGCCACTTATCAACAGAATAGCCATTGCAACCAATTATATAAGGATTCTAAAAAGTTCGAGTATATGCAAATCATATGTAGTCTTACAGGATAGCCAAAGGAGTTACAACAAAACCACTGTACTCATTATATATGGCTAACAAAGTGAATTGGGTAAACAGATGCAGTGCACCAGCTTCATTACTGCTTTTATATACAGAACAGAAGTGAATGCATTAAAGTGAAAAAGAAGAAAAATCTCAAATGTTTTTCTTTATCTAATTAAAACATTAATCACATCATGGCAGGAAAATGGAAAACAGAATGAGAAGAACACAAAGCACATCTGATATGACAAGAAACAAGTTTTGAAGTAAAACATATATAAAAGAAATTTAAGAGCTCTACAAACTTTAAGCACAACGTATACTGTGCAATGAGTCGGAAAGATGAATGAGCAAGTTTTGCCTACAGATAACAGGTTAGGATTCACTGATCTTCTGTTAAAAGCTATTTAGCTTTAAAACAGAAATGTTTTTAAATACAGTAGTACCTTGGCTCACGAACTTAATCCGGTCCATGACTCTGGTCATGATCCAAATTGGTCATGAGCCAAGTTAAATTTCCCCATAAGGTTCAATGTAAATAAGGTCAATCCGTTCTGTAACTATTTTTTTAATGTAAATGTAAAGCAAAATGACAAAGAACAACAAAGATCGTGGCTATCTCCCCCTCCCCACCCTGAGCATGAGTGCGGCCATCTCCCTGCCTCCCCAGCGCAATCGCGCCCCTCATTCCTGCAGGCGCCTGTCATCCCGGAGATGGCTGAGATCGCAGTTGCACTCCTGCAGGACAGACGGACACAATCAGAGGGGCGCTCGTGCAGGAAAGACGGGCGCAATCTCAGTCATCCTGCCCCCCCAGCACAATAGCGGCCACCACCCAATGTGGAGTTCACGACCTGAGTCAAAAATTTTATGAAAGTTTTGTTCACGACCCGATTTGGTCATGAACTGAGGCATTTGTGAGCTGAGGTATCACTGTAGTTACAACCTGAAGACTCACTTTGAAGAAATAAGGACTGTTGGCTCACATTCACCAAGAACTCATTATGATAAACTTGTAAAAAGTTTAAGGATTGAACATTCTTCCGTTTGAGAAATTTGCAATAACGTGCACAGAATATAGGTCAGCAAGAAAAGAAAAACAATCTCTCACTAGAAAGAACTAAAATTGTATGCTCGAGGTGCAAGAATTGGTTGGTTCAATCAACAATTTTAAATGTGTCCAAATTTATATTTGGAACTTCCTTGGAATTTGGTCAAAGAAAATCTGCAGCAGTACAATTTTTTCCACTGAAGGCAAGATCATGCCATAGTGTTATGAGAATACATAGGCAATCTTAAAACTTTAGGAAGTAAGTGATTACACTGGTGCCAGAAATATTTTAAGTATTCTCTCTGCAAAATATCAGAAAAGATGTTCTTAAGGATATGAAGTTTAAAAAAGGCCATGTATTTTTTCAACACTAAATTTTATAGATCAAACAGCATGGCCACAGCATTAAAATAGATTTCTACATGTATTTTAACCTTGTCTACAGTTCAGCACTGAATATTAAGAACCCTGGACAATTTTTCAAATTTTAAGAAGACAGAAGTGCAATTCAGTTTTAGGAAAAATAACTTTATAATAGACTCTCTCTCTCTCCACACACACACACACACACACACACACACACACACACACACACACAACCACCCCTTCCACAGCTGTTGCTGAAAGAGAAACTCATTTTCTTAAACCCTGTTCTCAGGAAATAATTTCAAAAGATGAATCACTATAAACAGATGTATGATAATTTTGCCAGAAGGACCTTAAAGGATTCCCCTTTGATGCAAAATATAAGGGAATGTTTTTAAGGACAGTCCTAACACAAGCTTTATGACAATAAACAAAGTTACAGATTTTAAAAATCTACACACATTAATCTTTCTTCCTATGGGGTTATTCCAACTTTAAAAAAACAATGAAACAATAGGAATCTTTAGAGAATGTGCTTCCAAAGCAAGCCATATAATTAAAATTATGATCAGCAATACAAAAATGCAGATTGAGAATATTCTAACTTGTCTTGAAATTTATTTCTATGTGACTGCAGATTCTATACAACGTGAGCTTCAGAAATTCTGGTACTCCAGCTGTGATAAAATACAACCATATAAATATAAGACTGTAGTCAGTACCCCTTGAGAAAAGCATAGGACTTTCCAGATTGTTTCAAAAGGAAAAAACCTGATAAACTGCTAAAACATTCTAAAAAGGTAAGAACATGCTCTATGATAAGGCTTGGGAACCTCCAATTCTATTAAGGAATCGGCCCTTACTAAAATTTGTGATACCTGACAAAATCCTACAATTAACCTCAGAAGCTAGTATTTAATATGTGTGTGTGTAAGGGCAGTGCACACTAAAGGTAGGGTTAAAGTCTTTTAAATAAATTCATTTAATAAGAACTTCAAGATGTGAACAATATTAAGGTCAGAATTTTTCTGAGCATCAGCAGGGGACATCATCATGTCCTACCTTAGAGGGTCTGGATTCTATACTGCAAGCTCTGAAATCTGACCACAGGAAAGAAATGTATGTTCCTCCCTTACTTGTCTCACCTGATTATCCTGACATTGGAACTGCATAACCACTGTCAGGTCTCACAAAGCCTAGCAGCAACAGTTGGAAAAAAGTGCAATAAAATTTGAAACAGATGGCCTAATGCTAGTATTGTCTGCCCCTAAAGGTGTTCTCTCTCAATGTTTTAGGTCAACTGTAACAAAAGAAAAGAATACAAACTGGATAGAATACAAGGGAAATAAAGACCACACTAAGGTAAAGCAAAACAGGCAAACAGCTTCAACATAAAAGACATATAACAATGAATAAAATACCTTTTCATTGCAGATACCAACCATTTCCTGCAATATAGCTCTTTGAGATAAAATAAAGCACATTTTACATGTATTTTAACCTAGTGCATGATAGGGTTATATTTCTATACATGGCTAGAAGTAATTTGCTTTGTTCAATTCCAATACGGTAACAAACCACTTAGAAGCTCTGCACAATGTAAAACTGAACCTGCAAAAATACCGCAGCTCACTGGCTATACAAATTAATGCACAATGGCAACAAATGAGTCTGTACAGTAAGACTGGTACAGAGCTTAGAAGTGGCTTACAATACAGAAGTTTCAAGATCTATTTTTATTATAAATTCATAGTTAAAATGTCTGTAACATGAGCAAAGAACTTAACATGGTTTTCCAAGCTATGCCACTGTTACAGAAAACAAGCCAAAAGTGTCAAATGAAAGCTGTCTTGCATGAAGACAAAGTTAACCTAAAAGTCCCTTCCTTGTCTAACTGCAACACATATTAAGGAGTTTACTTACATTTGGCGTTTAATGTATTCTTTAAGTACCACTTCATCCAGAGAATACATCTGCACTCCTGTGCCATCATCATAGTAATACATCATACTAGTGTTAAGATCTGGTTGAAATGGCTGAACATTCCTTTCACTATATTGTTCTCGACAGCCATATGAATATTCATGGTTCACTTCAGAATTGATAGGGAAAGAAAAATTGAATAAAAATGTTACATGCCTTATTATATAAAAAAGGAAGCCTTATCTCAATACATATCTCATATTCTTTGAGTCAACATGTTGATAGGAGCCATGGAACATTATTTTGTACTCACCTTGGTGCTTCTTTATTATTTAGTGTATGGAAGCATCCAATTGTGGGCTATATCTGTTCCTACTGCAAGAAACATGTGATTTAGATTTTTTTTTATTATCTCCTCCTCTAGGTTCTTCCTTAGTACTATTTTGTGGCCCAAAGTTGTAGCAGAAATAGATTTATGAAGTTACAAATAAAAGTAGAAGGATTATGAACAGAAAAAAGAAATGACAGTATACCTTAATTTCATGAATTAGCTACCTATCATGAAGGGTTCAGAAAATGACTTCCATACTAGGACCCTGCCAGATATCAGTGGGGAGTTAATTTCACATGATGAAATTTCACACCATTCCTCCATACCATGGCTGAATGAACCTCAGTACGGTGGGGTACTAGAAGCAAGCAGTCTCATTCTGAAGGTAGAGAACAGGAAGAACTATACTAGAAAAGCCTGTCTCCAGCTACCCTGATCCTGACTTGCTTAGGGCCTTATAAACCAGAAGCAACACCTCCAACATGACTCAATAGTGAGCTAACAGCCAGGAAAGAGCTTTCAGCACAGGAGTTATATTGTGCACAGTAAGAAGCTCTGCTGAACAAAGTAGTTGCTCCATTCTACACTAGCTGCAGCTTCTGAATAGACTCACACAAAGGGCCTTAGAATAATCTTGAGTTTAGAGATACAGAGTTTATTACAGCCAGGCTATCTATATCAAAGAATGGCCATAGCCACTATACTAACTGCAGCAGATAATAAGCCCTCTTTGCTATTAAAACCACTCAGGCCTTCTTTGCTGTTAAAACCACTAGACAGAGATGAGTCTAAGAGGACCCCAGTTTATGTACATGTAGGGGCAGTGCAACTCCATCTAGGACAAGCTAATTATCCAACTCCTAGAACCAGGAACTACCACCCATAGAGCCTAATTCTTGCTAGGAGTCAATAGCTGTGGACTGACTCTCATCCAACCCACCACTGCATGCAGACACTGTCCAAGTCATACACAACCACATCTGATTTCGATATAACAGAGAAATATAGTTGAGTGTCATCCACGTATTGCTAGCACTTTACTACAAATCCCCAATGATCAGACACAACAGCTTCATACAGATATTAAAAAGCATAGGTGACAGGTTCATGCTGCATAGAACCTCACATCACAATTATCAAGGGTCCAAGATTCCACAACAGCACTGTCAGAAACTGGATCTGCAAACAGAAATGGAACCAATGCATTACATTGCCTCCTACTCCATGCCCACACAACTGGTCCAGAATATGATGCAGCTTACAGTATCAAAATGCTGAGAGGGCAACGGGTAGCAACTGAGTCACATCTCTCCTGTACGTACCTTTCCTGATAAAAGTTCATTTCAGCAGATACAAGAGAAGTTTCAGCAAAGTCTGAAAGACTGCTGCACATAGTATCCAAGATGATGACTCACACTTCTAAAGGTTCTTTAAAGATCAGGTGAGACTCAAATGATCTGAAGCCTGCAATAAGGCATGGGTGGCAGCCTGGTATTTCAAGGTGTTGGGCTCAAAGACTCGTTTCAAACCTGCCTGTACAAAGTATAGTAATTCTTCTATACTTTCTGTCCTGTGCTCAATCACATTTTTCCTGTTCCATCAAACAAACAATTTCCAGAAAAAGTGCAGATCTTGCTTGTAGATTGCCTTCTGGAAGTGAGGCATATGCTGATTACTTCTCCCAGCTGGCCTGTGGTTAAAAGTAATCTTTCAATTTCCATACACTTAAGCAGCACCACACTAAACTAGGTATTATATAGGTCTAAGAGAGAGCAGACTGGTTTTGACTGATAGAAACCACAGAGATAATTATGAAAGCTGCAGAATCTCCAAGAACCAGGGGGATTGTGGCCAGAAGGTGCACCCTAAGATCACCCTATGAGCAAAGCTAGTGCAGAACCCCAGAGATGAGTAGAGTTGGAGGAAGTATGTATAACAGAGTCCTAGACAAAGCTGATGTTAAGGTCTCCATTCTGCTCTCTTCAGACTTTCTATGTCTTATGACTGCCAGCAACACAAACAGGTTCAGTATGGGAGAACTTAATTACTTCTGGATTGCTATGAAGGTGGACAGATCCAGATTCCATTCTTCTGATTGGAGTTTGGTGGCTGAAGATGTCTACCCTCATGTTCAGATTTAACAAGCTGTTGCTGACTGTAGACTGTTCTCAACCCATGATAGCAGGACTATGGAGTTTGGAAAAGTCCTGGAGCTGGTTACTTCTTGCCTACTGTGCCACAGATGTAATGTTGTCTTTATTAGGAAAAGTGATGTTATGATCCTATGCTATGAGTAGGACAAGCTCAGTCCTGTGCCAAGCAAGGGGCAAATCTGTTCAGAAAAGCCAGAAAGCATGCCGAGGTCAAGAGCACAGTATTACCAGTCAAGAACAAGGGTAGCCCAAAGTAGTCTAAGGTAGAATTGAAGTCAAGCACAGGCAGCCATTCAAATCAAGTACAATCCAAAGAACTGACTCTTCTCAGAAGTCCAGGGATCAGAAGCAAGAGATCAATTCCAAAGTCAAGAAAACTAGGCTGCAAAGTAGTGACAGATGAAATAGAGATGTTGTTTCTGCAATGAGTTGATCTCAACTGAAAGCATCTATGATAAAGTCTCCCAGCCCACTACCAGGTACAGTTGCAAGGTAAATGCTTGGCTTCAATGAACCCCTAATTCTGAAATAGACTTTTGCTCTCAAATAGCCTTGCTGCTGATGGTCTTGAAGTGTATACTTCTCCCGAGTGTCAGGCTGTGGTTCCACCTACTGGTGCCTGCAGATGCCTTTATCCTCTGGCTCCATGAGCAAGGTACAACCCACCACTGAACAGCTGAACAACCCAATGTAGCTTCCTAACTGCTACTGGAGCTGCCTGGTTATCACCTAAGTCAGGGGAGTTACACAGAGTCTTTGTACAAAGGATCACCCTAGTCCAGGTCTAGGGCAAGCCCCACAGACAATAGGTGTAAATGCTTGAAGTACTACAGTGAACAAATGAAGTTCAGCCAATTTATACTCTTGGTTACTTCCTGCATTGATCAGAAGCCTTGGTCATGCCAATATGTTCTCCTGAGAACAGGTCAAATCAAACAATGTTCACCATGACCAAGACATGGGTGAGACCCATTAAGTTCATTATTTTGTAGTATCAGAGATGTCTGGTTGTTTGTTCAAGCTTTCTGAACCTCTACAGAAAAAAATGAAATGAGATCCTGGAATGTGTCCATGATAGTACCTAGTCACTAGAGGTAATGTGATGGCTGTAAGTAGATGGCTTTCAAGGCAATTCACTAGGAATTCATAGTGCTCCAGAATTATCTGCAGGTCCTGATTAGCCTTGGAGACAAAGATGCCAAAAGAGAAGGCCATTAGGACAGGACTATGCAAATAGTGACTAGACACAGGTGCACCACTGGCTTTGTAAATATGTGAGAGGTTCATGGGCAGAACTCTTTATTTAAAAGAGTTTTTGTAGGTGAACTAGAGAAATTTGTACTGATCAGAGAGAATAAGAATATGCAAATACTACTTGGTTAAATTTACTGAAATTTCCCATTGTTGGTAAAGAGTTCTTAGATGGTAGTCAAGGTCTTTCTAAGAAATTTGCATTTCTATACACATTTCTTGAAGTATCTGAGATCTAAAATTGTGTGACAGTATTCTTTCTTTGCAACTATTAAGAAGATTAAGCATATGCCAAACCATCACTTAAAGGGAAGAAACGATCTCATGAAAGGAACAGAAATAAGACTGGTTCCAGAAACAAAGTCTACACTCCAGTACCTGACTCATAAGTAGCCGCTAGCCACCATGTTGGTTGCTATAACCCTGACCAAAAACAGCAGTAAGTCTAATGTGGCTTCAAGTAAGACTGAGGCTTGGATATTTTCAAAATAATACCATAATGTCAGTTGGTGTCCTGAACTAAATCTTCCAAACATAATAGAGAGGACATAGAATAAATGAGGTTCATGGTACCCAAAAGGCCATGGTAGTTGCCTCACAGTCTTCCCACAGGGCTAAATCTAAATAGATAGATAAACTTTATTGTGGTCAAAGACCCGCTCCATTCAATAAATACATAGATTTTAAAAAGTAAATACATAAAACGTTATCTATATTAAAACCCCACTCAGATTGATAAATGCTTCAACACATTATCAATCATCTTAAATCAGTGACAATCCCAGACTTTGTCCTTGTTCCACTAGGTAGAGCCACAATTCCCCAGAATCTGTCTTTGGACTCCCATTTAGGGCTAAATCTAAATGTTTTCAGCAAAGTCCCTTAAGTGTATCACAATCTTTTGGCACTATGGCTTCTGACAGCAAAACAACCTGGGGGATTCCACCAAGGAAACATAACCTGCTTTGTAGGGGATACAACCTAACAATAAATTCAAAGCTTCTGCTATTTAGAAGTATCACCTATTTTAACTGGCAAAGGTTTGATTACCATCTTAAGTAGCAAGAGCCTTCAATTTGGGGATATTTTTCTTCTTAGGAGATTACAATTAAGGGACTTAAAGGTTGATAGGATGCATGGGCCTGTCATATGTACTTTTAAAATATTTGAGCCTTTACCACTTTGCTATTCTGAAGAGGAAATGATTCTGAAGGCCTGATAATGCACCTACTCTGGGAACACTTAGAATTTTTTTAAGAAGCTGAACAGAAATTTTAATAACTACCTCCTTTATTTTTGACACAAAATCTTTCCAGAAAAGTAGGCAGACAGCTAAGAAAAAGATGGGCTCTGAAAGCTTTTGTTGCCTTCTGAGGGCCCCAAAAAACTTGGCAAATTGATGCTGAATCAAAACTTTCAACCAAAGTTTCCTCTGCAATTAAAAGTAGTCCAAGATTACTAAAATTGCCCTTTTGTACCCTCTGGTGGCCATTAATAGCATTGCTAACAGTGCTGCCATTTGCAAATAGTGCACATTTTCCATTACCCTGGAAAATTTTGCCTGCTCCCAAAATCATGGGCTCATTTGAAAGCATTAAGACATGACTATCCACAAGGGAGGATTCTAAATAGACTGAGGATCCCCCACCATGGTGGATGCTGGAGATAATGAGATCCATTCTTTAGAGGGAAGGGCTCTTGTGGTTCTAGCAGACCTTAGAGAGAGGCAACTCATTGTGCCAGTTTCCTTCACAGGAAAGCTTCTTCCTAACAATTCTTACATGTTTCCCTTTTTGTAAATCAGGCTTACTGACCCATTTTCCCATTGCAGCCATCAAAGAAAATATGAGAAGAAGGGTAAGAAGGAAAAACAGAACAGTGGAAAAATAAACACTTGAAAATACAAAAGGAAAATAAAAGGGAGAACAAGAAGAAACACAATCAAGAAGCTCTGAGCTAAGCAGAAAACAGAAGAAATATTAATTTCTGCTTTGAGTGAAGGCAGGAATGAACTGACAAAGAGTCTAAGGGAGATGATGACAGAAAAATATGTCACCTGATTTCTGCCTTCCAAGCAATAAGAGAATCCATGTTTGGATGTCTCCTATTATTCTAAGCTGGAAAAACAGACATCAACTTTAGCAAAGTTTTTGATGAAAGTTCCCCAACCAAGACACCTGCAAAAAAATTCAGTCTTAGGATAAGAGCACAATCTTTAGGAATCATTTCAAGGCAGAAAACAGACAACAGAAACACAATGTCAATGTTCACAACAGAATAAAAATACTGGGAACCAATTCCTATGGAAACTGATAGCCCTGGTCATAATGTTTCTACGAAATCAACTTAACTGAAGAGAAATGTGAATCAATGTAGATAAAATGCTTTGCAATCATATGCTCAAATATACATTAAATATCAGGGTTCATTCATGTTTGTTAGGTCCCCTTGTCATATTAAATGTATACTGGTAAAAAGAAGTGTTCCTTTGTGTTAAAATTTTGACACTATGGTTCACAATGACTGTTCCTGTCTGAAACTGACTTTAAAGACAGTATTCTCACTTTCTGGTACAGATGCAAGACTGCCACAGTTATGACTGGTTGTAGGTCTTGCTTGGCCCAAAAGCCTATCTCATAAACAGTAAAAAGTCCTCATTAAAACTAGCATCAACTCATACTTTTTACTGATAACAGAAAGCTAACTCCCAGTTCGTGTTTAAAGAAAACTGCAAAGTATTCTAGCCATGTCATCAGTCCAGTGCAAAGAGATAAAAAATTCAAGGTTATAAGAAGCTGGCTAAGATAAACATTAAGTGAAATTTTAAAAAACTGGAATGGAGAACTGAATGTTGTTACACACATTTATATATGTGGAATACAATATGAGAGAGAGAGAGAGAGAGAGAGAGAGAGGGAGGGAGGGAGGGAGGGACACACACACAAACTGATCTGATGTTTTTTCTTTCAGTTTTTATAAATATTTGTAAGCGGAGATATAGCTTGTATGTGTATTTTTCTTATGCCAGGAATCTAGACAGTTCTTCAAACATTAGTTCAGTTGAGTCTTCTAATTATCCTTATATAATTTATGACTCTGAACCTGAAGTTACTTTCTGAAAGCACAGTTCCTTGTCAATTGCCCCAATAAAAAATGAGATTTCAAACTCAAGTTATAAAGTGCCTTGAATTAGATATCTATCAATCAATCAATCAATCTATAACTAATGTTAAATGGGAACAAAGATGTTCAACATGAACAAATTAGAATAGAAGGATTGAAGGATCCACCTTTTAGTTCAAAAATACTCAAATTGGGGTTTCATGCTACATCAACAAGTAGCAAAAAAACCTTGGTTATTATTACTCCCTCCTCCTCCTGAACAATTCGATCCTGGTTCAAGGCAAACCTGGTCTGTAGGCCAATTCCAAATCAGAGCTTGCTGGTTTGAACAAAACTAGAATCTGAGGAAGGAAACAACAGTGTGTGAGGTAGGAGAGAACGCATGCTCCTTCTTGATGTTCATTCCTGTAATGTTAAACCATGGTTTAGTGTTATGTCTGGGCTGCTTCAGAAATTTCTGACAATAATGTTAGGAGAACATAAAAGTCACATATACAGCTCACCTCTACACCAAAAAATAAAAAATAAATCTCACATTCCTTTAAACTCCCCCCATGATCCTGAAAACTATAGTTTTCTATTGCATCTGAATGAGGCACAATTGATTTCCCACAAACCAAGATGTTAAATCAATTTCAAAATCCAGTTTGTCACTAAATCAAAAGAAACAGACAGGAAATTAAAAGCCAGCATAAAGGAAGGAAGAAAGGAAAGGAGTAAGCAGAAGAACAGGAATTTTTTATATCAACAAACTATGTCTTGCTATTAAATCTTCTATAACCTTCATTACAGAAGACAGTTTACAATCTAATACTTTATGTTCAATACAATATATTAATAAATTTTCTATTTTCATACTTCGAGGGTTTCCTCTTCCAAGTCCTCTCCCCCTTCCCCTGCCTCTCCCTCTTCCTCTGTAAAGTCCACGAACACTTCCACCTTCACTTCTCACACTAGAGACTTCATCATGATCATCTCGTTTGTCCTTATCTCGTCGCCAGCCTTTTGGAAACAGAAGAGTACATTCTGTAGTCACACAACTGAGGTTTAAACATGAAGATGTTAATGATGTGTAAAAGACAAATCAGTTGAATTTTAAGTGACATACTAGTTCTTGTCTCATTGCGTCTGTTGTTGATAGGCACAAGTTTGCTAGCTTCTGGTTGAGATCTTGAACTGTTCCGAGATCCTGGTCTATCTTGGTTATCTGATTTCATATCATCTAAATTAAGTGGCACCCATTTGTGCCTGTTACCTTCAAGTATAAAAATTTCAAAATATAATGTTGTTAAGAATACCCAATGACTAAATAAAATACAGTGCAATTTCTTAAATAACAGTTGCCATGACTTATTTGCATATATGCAGTGCAATCCAGTGTGGCTGCCCATAACTTTCTGAACTTGGCATCCAATGGTAGACAGAAGCACAGAGGCAAGAATTGCCTCAGCATTCTTCCCACACTGCAAAAACACTTATGACAATTTTGGATGCTTAAGCGATTTACACCAGCTCACAATGAGAGGAGCTAGAGGCACCACTAGTTTTCTTTGCAGGACAGTGATGCCTTATACCTCCCCTCCCACACTCTGTAACATCTGTAATACTTGAAGTCAGTCTTGCAACCTGAACCACAGCTTGTACAGATTGAAACATGCTGGCTACAAGAATACTTCAAGTTTAGAACTCCAGCTCTGACCTCAGAGCACCTTTCAAAGATTTGACCTGGAACTCCAAATTATCCTATGGCCATAGAGACCATATCTAGCAGCCAGAGGATTAAACCCTTATTAATTTAAAAAGCATCAAGAATAAAAGAAAACTTTCTATTCAACTGGGGTTCATTTGCATGGGTATTTTTAAGACTTTTTGGATAATCAAGTTTCAATTAGAAGGAAGCACCAGTCTCTAGCAATGTTTGCTACAACATCCCAAGTGAAACAGGATATACAAATTATTTTCAGCTGAAACAGTCTACAATTTCTATGAACACAATCACTTGTTTAACAAAAAAAGTTACTTTTAGGGATGAACTTCTCAACAATCCTTTCTGAAGTCCTATATTCAGAGTCACTTGCATTTCAGGTATTTAGCAACAAAACAAAAGGTATGTTCTCTCTTTCTGATACAATATAAGCTCTAGCAATGGGATTTATACTGTAGACAAATGCATGCCATCCCATTCTGTTCCAGATTACATTGTATTTAATCAAGGCCTGTACTGTGAATCTGTATTACAAATGCAGAGGATAATAGTGCTATGGACTTGTTCACAATATCTGTAGGAGTGTAATCCTATGCAATCCTTAGACAGAAAGTAATGAACTCCCAGCATGCCCCTGGCAGGAAATGCTGGGAGTTTCTGGATGGACTTCTACAATTTTTTTCTTACTAAATGTGCATAGGATTACATCCTAAAAGTATCAAAGAGTACAAATATACAACAGAGTTCCATTTCTTAAATACAGCTCCTATACCTAAGGATACAGATAACATCAATATACTAGTCCACACCAACCTTTTTTCCTTTGATTGTTAATCTGCACCTCATCTTCACTAAGATTACATCCAGGAATATCTGGATTTTGTTCCAAGTTGTCCTTGATTTTGGTGTTAGGTTTTCTTTCGTTCCTCTCTTCCTTCTCCTTCTTGATTGGAGGTTTTTTATTTTGATTAGTTACATTTTTACACTATAACATAATAGTAACAAAGTTAAAGCTGAATTCTCAGTTTGTTCAAATATCTGTGGCCATTTAAAAAAAATGAAACTGATATGAAATAGATGTTTTGGTCTACCATTCCTACACCCTACTAAAAGATTATCCAGATGACTTACACACATGGGAAGTAGCAGGATCACAGAGGCAAGTCTTAGTCCCAAATTATGTAAGTTTCTAGTCCAGCTGGGGTGAGACTTGCTGCCACAATCTCATGTTCCCACCATATACATTCATTGTATGCATACAAATCTGAACAGCTGTCATTATTATGCATTCTCAGCCTAATTACTATTTTGCCAGCAGCTCACTAAAAACTGTTGCATTACTGATGATGTAAGATCCAAATGTTAAGAACCAAAAGGTGGGTAGTCAAAACAGCAGGATGCCAATTTTTTCCTCCATCACATATGAAAGCTACACTAAGCACATCAGAGTAAAAATTAAACTAATAAAACATGATAATATCCTGAATTTCTATATGGGATATACAAAATAATACAATAAGACCAAAGGAAAAAATGTATCAACACAGTCTCCCCTCAACCTCTCAAGACTCTGCAATTACCCTTCATAATATAAATATATAAAAAACCTGTGAGGCTTGGCAATCTTGGCAAATATACTTTGTTTCTACTTTATGTTTACATTTAGATAGAAATATGATGACATTATTCTGCTGCCTAATGTTAAAACATTTGTATCAAATAACACTATAATTTAGTTAACTTAATGTTCCTGTTGCTGGAGAAGACTCCTGCGAGTCCCTTGGACTACAAGGTGATCAAACCGGTCAGTCCTAGAGGAGATCAACCCTGACTGCTCTTTAGAAGGCCAGATATTGAAGATGGAACTCAAATACTTTCGCCACCTAATGAGAAGGCAGGACTCCCTGGAGAAGAGCCTAATGCTGGGAACAATAGATGGCAAAAGAAGAAGGGGACGGCAGAGAATGAGGTGACTAGATGGAGTCACTGAAGCAGTCAGCGTGAGCTTAAGTGGACTCCGGGGAATGGTGGAGGATAGGAAGGCCTGGAGGAATGTTGTCCGTGGGGTCGCAATGGGTCGGACATGACTTCACGACTAACAACAGCAATGTTCCTGTCTTTCACACTGATCTCTGACTCCTGAAGTGTCAAACTTTTTATTGTAGCATATAAACACAGTATTAAAGTGAAAACTAAAAATTATTATTTATCCTTTCTTAACTACCTAGTTCACATATTCTCATCCCTTCAATCTCTCTCTCTCTCTCTCTTTCCCCCTCATGAAGGCAACACACAAGGAAAAAAAACCTAACTGTTTGGCAACTTGCTCTGTAAGCAACTTTTATATAGGTGAGTTGCAGACAAACAGATCAGTTGTTATTACCGGGAGCCTCTCAGACAAGAAACTCCCTGGGTGGATTAGTTTGGTGCAGCAGCAAGGATGGCCCATGTATCTCCCCCTACCACAAAAACAAAGAAAAATCCACAAGAACAAATTCTGCAGACATAGCCCAGCCTAAAACAGTCACTGCTTCCTACATGTCCCCAAGTAGTGATAATTATCTCTTTGGAGTTTATAGGCTGCATTGCACTGCGGGAAAGCAATGGAAGTTGTTGCCTCAACGTATATTTCTGCAAGCCTTGCCCTTCTCGACATTTCATATCTAATACGTAGCACTTGTCCAACTGCATCTTCTTTGAGATGGGACAATACCAGACTTTTTAAAAGGCAGTAATCAGTAATCTTGTAAACAACTCTAGACCAGTTTCCAACAACCCTTTATTGGGCAAGTTGCACAGTTGAGTGATCACTGATCTCCCTGAGAAACTCCTGGATGAAACTGATATTCTTGATCCATTTTAATCCAGCCTGAGGCTAGTTTTGGAACAGAAGTTACCTTGGCATTCTCCAGAACAAACAACATCAAGTGAGAGGAGGAAGAGTGAGACTCTGTTGATTCTCTTGAATCTCGCAGTGGCTTTCAATAACATTAACCAT